TCTGGCCAGCTGTCCCGGCCTCCGTACCGAGGACCCGGTTTGTGTACATATGGGACCTCAACGCGCTAAAAGACACACTGGAAGAAAGGTTTTGTTTTTCTAACATTCCATCTGGACGATGAGACCGACCCGACTGGGTCCGTCAGAACCTTTCTCCTGGTGATGTTTGAGTACATCAGACTGTTTAATTTATTGACGTCGAGCAGCAGGACGGGATCAGGGGACAGGGCGCCGTCCACGCTTCCTTTCCTATTTATTGGTGCCACGACGGTTCTGTTTGGCCCGGTCTGTGCGCGGCCGTGCTCGGGTCTAGCTTTAGGACTCGGCTCTCTTTCGTAACCTGTATCATGTATATATCAGTGTATATAGTCGTCTTCTACTCTCCTGTTCTCGTCTCTTTTCTGCCTGTTTTTACAGCCTGGTCTCGCCGGCCGGCCGCTGTTGCCTTCGTCCCGTTTTAACGCGTTTCCTTTCATTTATTCCTGTTTCGTTCACGCCGCCGCGTCATCTGATGTCATTTTATTTTATAAGATGTTTGAACTATGATAAAGGGTTTGATCACTATCTCAGATCTGAGGTGGTGCGGTCCGACCCATCCACGTCAGGGCGGTTCTGGTGTGAGGCAACGTCAAGCTGGACTCTGACTGTAGCTCCCATTTATTCATATAAATGTGGCCATTTTTATAGAAACGGATGCACATATTTCAGATAATCATGGGGGGGACTGAAGTTGGTTTCCAGCACACGGTTTAATCAGCCTGATTTTACTGAACTTTTGTCAGATTTATTTGCGGTTGTAACGTTTGAAAGAAGTTTGTCGCTGCAGCCGGTCCGCTCGGCTTCAGAACCAAAAACCAGTTTTCTTTTTAAAACTTTGTACAAATTTCAGCCAAATATGAGAAGTGAAGCAGGTGGAGCAGCAGTCCGTTCTGAAAATCCCTCCCGAGTCTCAGGAACTTTGGTGCAGATTCCCGGTAATCTGGACGTGATCGTGTTGAGTTTGATTGAAAACATCAGGATAACCTGGAAAGTGCAGCTGTTTTCTGTTAAACTCGAGATGACGCCTCATGTAGGGTTAGCCGTCGGCTCTCAGCTTCACACAGAACCCCATCAAACTGTAAGTGTGTTTGTTCGGACCGGTTTGAGCGATCGGAGCAGCGAGGCTGGAGCTTCTGGACGATGGTTGATGAGACTCCTCCTGTTCCCTCGCCGTATTCCTGTGGAGCTTCCTTCCTTTTATTTATTTTTTTTACCCTACCTGACCTGTACAGGGTTTCTGATGTCCGAGTCACGTGCAGCTGTGCTCGAGTCCTAACAGATGTTTGGGGAGGGGCTTGGCCAGATGTGGCACATCCTGATAAATCTGACTGAAAACAGGAATTTTCTCGTTCTTTGTGGTAAAACGTTTGGCAGCTGGAAAACGGGCGTCCATCATGTTTGAGTCCAAGTTGCATCGATCTGCTTTCTCGCCGGGTCATTATTATTATTATTATTGCTTCTGCTCTGTGGCTGTAATAAAATACAAACGTTCTTTGACAGGAAAATAACTATTATGTGAAATTTCAATCAAGATTAAAATGTCTGTGAATTTGTTTCATTCGTCTGATTCTTAAACAAAACAACTCAAGTCACAGTAAGTATTTGTATTTATAACAAAACATCTCCTAAAACCAGGACTAGAGGAACAGTTCTGTGGTAGAAACGTTGTTCATGTGGCAAACTTCTTCTGTCGGACCGGCGCCGGCAGCTGAGACACGATATCCAGCAGGGGGCGCTCCACCACGACCAGGGAGTGGTCCTCCATCAGGTCCACACACAGGAGGTTCTGAGAGGAATCGACACACACGTCACACACCTTCACCTGCCCTGGTATAGGTCAAAGGTCAAAAGTCCATCTAGAAGAAACTAGACACCTCGAGGAAAGTTTGAGGTTCTGTTGGGATAAGTGAGCCCTCAGGTTGTTCTGACAGGTGTGCTGCCTACTCGATGACCCGATGACCCCCCAGAACTGAAACACACCACTAAAAGATGCTTTCTAGAACTCATTCAACTCAAGTTTAATTATAACGCACCAAATGACAACAAGAGTCGTCTCGAGGACCTTCACACAGTAAACATTCATTACAGGTCAGTTCATTAAGCCAATCAGAAAAAAAGATTCCTATATAAGGAACCCAGCAGGTTGCATCGAGTCACTGACTAGTGTCAGAGTCTTCAGAGCAATCCTCATACTAAAGCCCCATTCCCATCTGTACCGGGTCGGCCCAGGCGGGTAGCCCCAGTCGGCCCCAGCCTGGCCCGGTTGTTTCCACACATCCTTGCTTAGGTATAAGCAGTCAGAGACACTTTCAGCTTCTGGGTAATCAGCATGATAATGAATTGAGCATGCCTTAAGCCCATGTGGGCTGGTTCTACCCACCAATCAGAGGCTTGCTGTAATGGAAGGTGTGAACTTGCTGTCAGCAGTGGGTGTGTTGGCCCTGGTCGGCCTGAAGCAGACCCCCTCGAGAAGAGGGCTGAGAATGAGCCTTGGTTAGCTTGGAAGAATACCAGGCCACCCAGATATGTAAACAACCTACGCTACCCGGCCCGGGCCGACCCGGTACAGATGGGAATGGCCCTAAAGTAAGCATGCAGCGACAGTGGAGAGGAAAACTCCCTTTTAACAGGGAGAAACCTCCAGAGGATCCTGGCTCAGTATAAGCAGCCATCCTCCACGACTCACTGGGGATGGAGAAGACAGAGCACACACACACACACACCATATATACAAATTAATGTGTCTATGTCTACATTGTGATTTCTTAGTAAATATTCTATTTGGCGAGAGAGAAACTTTATTGTATTTATCCTAGTGAATCTATAATTAAGCGGGTAAACTAGTAGTAGCACATTCAATGTCAGAATAAAATGTGATCAGGGACTCATGACGGTCGTTGTCTGACAGGAAGTGACACAAACCATCAAAATAAAAGCCGATCAGATAAATTGACACCAACACTGGTGACATAGACGAGGAACTGAATGTCGTACCTGGAAGTTCCTGTACACCTTGAAGGCGTGGCTGTTTCTGAGCCGTTCTCCCAAAGAAAGACTCTGGAGAACCGACTGATTGTAGAACCTCGTCTTCTCTTCAGGAAGCGGCTAAACCCAGAAATAAATGCCATCAGAAAAAAATGAAGTTCTAATTAAAATAATCACTTTCTTAAAAGAAGTTAATAAAATCAGGTGTTTGGTATGGTGCTGGTTTCCATCGAGGCTGAAACTGAATCGGACTTGTCATTTTATGAAAATAAGAGTGAATAAAAAGTTGAATTAAACAAAATAAAGGGCATAAACTAAATGTGCGTGAAGAATATCTGGAATAAATATGATTTAGCTTCATAATTAATATAAAACTGTTCTGATGTTTAATGAGCACGGCGTGATTTTATGGAGCTTTGGCGCCCCCGAGTGGACAGATCAGGCGGTGAGAAGAGACTAGATGCTCTGCCGCCTCAGTGTTTGAACGTTGTGTTTTAGTTATTCTTGGTTTTAAACTTTCTAAGGGAGATTTAAGCAAATCTTGTTTTTTTTTCTAATTAAACAAAACTTTTAGATGATATCAGTGACTAAAAACCAGAACATGTTTTTTTTTAATCAGTTCGTGCTTTTCTCGTGTTTGAAAAGCGATTTGTCAATAAAGTTAATTTGAGTTGAAACACAAAGTGCTCTCATACCAGAATCTGGTCGACGATGCAGAACATGGAGGTGTCGTGCAGAAGGATGTGAGTCGGGTTATTGGGATTGAAGGTGACCCGGGTGATGGGAGCGTCCCTCTGCAGCCACAGCGGGTGCATTCCTTGTTTCTGTAGCTTCCGGCTCCACGCCGTGAACTCCTTCTGCTTCAGGGAAAACTCGAAGATCTGCAAACAAACCAAAGCTCAAAGATCCACCGTTCGCCTTAGAACACACCGACTAGACGGATACGCTGCTCCCACCTGCTGGTCCGCGTGAACGGAGACGAGGCTGCAGCTGAACGGGTGGATGGAGACAGCCGTCGGACAGGATCCACACACCGGAACCGAGCAGTGGAGCTGCAGGGAGACATTGAGATCAGCTGGAAGTAAACGACACGGTCCGGGAATGATCCAACACAAGCCGGCTCAGAGGAGTTCTGGGTTTGAACTCACCTTTAGCTTGTGAACGTCGAAGACATGAATCTCTCCACCTGTGTTTGCTGTGGCCAACCAGTTACCGTCCTCACTGGGAGACAGCAGGTGGACAGGCTGTCTGGAGTCTGGGTGCAAAAAATATTACAAACATAAATCTGTGGCTTCTGCAAAACTTTATTCTATAAATGCAAATTTACCAGATTTGTTTTAAAAATTAAATCCACTGCATGTGATGATGTCATTAAACCCAGGATGGCTGAATCAGGTTTCAATTTGAAGTAAAAAAAAAAAAAAAAACACTGGAGTTAATTAATTTTTTTACTTGTGGGTTCTGCTGAACCAGGTGAGATCTCAGGTGTTTCCACTACAGATGTCCCGATACGACACCGATATTGCAGTCTTCAGTTGTAACCAATACCGATATCAATCCTTTACGACATCAGCACAGATCATAAATACTTTTACCTATTTTGTAGTGGAAAGTATGAAAGGCTTGATCAAGTGGTGTTACTCAATCGGAGAACAAGAGCCGATAACGGTAAGTATTTTTCTAACCATCTGACATAATGTAAAACTGATGAATGGTAAAAACTACAAATTATCACTTTGAAGTACAAAATACTAACTGAAGGTCACTTCAGTTACTTTTTGCTGTCATGGTAGGAACTGCTGAGCTCAGACATGAGAATAAAAATACAAGATTTGCTGGAATGAAATTTAAAGCGCAACGGATCACTTATATCGGAGATTTTTGTTGCAGTCCGATGTAATCCGACAGTTTTTGAGCAGATATCGAATGACTTCAGATGTCGATATCAGAACAGGACATCCCGAGTTTCCACACGACTGAACTGACCTTTCCCACCGGATCAGCTGACGGAACTCACCAGACGGGGGTTTGAAGGTATGAAGATATTTGCACTCCAGCTCTTTGACAGAAGCGACGATGACTGACGACAGAATGGAGGAGGCGAAGAGTTTGGAGGAATCAGAGGAGAAACTCAGCTGATGGACCGAGTTCAGTTCTTTAGGGAGTTTGGACACCTGAAGGCGAGAAAGAGGGACGAGAGGAGCTGGAATTCTTTCTGGAAAAATTCTGAGTGAGATGAGTTTTGAACCCATGAGTCTGAAAACATCACAGGGTTGACTTAATTTCTCCCCAAAATATTTAAACGGGCACCAAATGAGCAGGTGTGTGTGGAGCTCACCTTGTTGATGCTGATGTTGTTGTCCAGCTGCAGCCTGTAGAGACGGACGCTGGAGACGGTGGCGTACGCCAACCAGCCTCCGCATGGAGACAAAGCACTACAGCAGATGTTATCCTCACCCTGTGGAAGACACACACACACACACACACACACACACACACACACTTCTAATTAAACTAACCTCTTCGCCAGTACCAATCTAACCTGATGACATTTGTGGACCTTTGTCCAAAGCTCTTTCAGAATAAAAGCATGGGTAAGGAGTAGCTCAGGCAGTAGAGCGGGCTGCCTCATGATCGGAGGGTCATGGGTTCGATCCCAGCTCCCGCCAGGGGTATCCTGCTGTTGTGTCCTTGGGCAAGACACTTCACCCAACTTGCCTGTGTTAGTGGTGGTCAGAGGGGCCGACGGCGCCAAATGGCAGCCTCGCCTCTGTCAGACCTCCCCAGGGCGGCTGTGGCTACATAGTAGCTTACCATCACTAGCAGTGTGTGAATGTGAGAGTGTGTGAAAGCGTCTTTGGGTGTCTAGAAAAGCGCTACATAAGTTCAATGTATTATTATTATTATTAAAACATGAGCCTGCTTCTACCTATAGAGCACACCTGAAGCGAGCTCAGAATCCAGTCCTATAGTACTTTCTACACAACACTGTCAACCACAGTGCTGTACAGTTAGCGCAGATATAAAACACTACAAACACCAATAATAAAAGACATCACAGTTAAAAATAAATCTGGATAAAGACGCTTAAAAAAACACCATTGGAATATAAAAATCAAACAAGAGTGGATGTACAACAATCAGATCGTGTTAAAACTTGGCGAGTAGAAGTGAGTCTCGAGAAGAGTTTTAAAAACCACAAGCGAGGAGGCTTTCCTGATGTTGACGGACAGCTGGTTCCATAAGCTAGGAGCAGCCACACCTATCACGTCTCCGCCTCGCCCTCGGAGAACCCGCTGCAGCTGGTCAGCCGACCTCGTAGGTGGATCGTACGGCAGGAGAATGTCTGAGAGGTATGCCGGTGCCAGCCTTTTTAAATTCTACAAACTGGAATGCGGTGAAGAGGAGCTAGCGCCGGGGTGATGTGATCATGCCTACAGGTGCCTGTTAGCAAACGAGCTAGCTAACATTCTGCACCAACTGCACTTTTGAGACATTCTTGACTCGCCCCAATATAAAGACCATTCTAGAGGTAATAAAAGCATGAATGAGTCTTTCCACGTCCCCCTTTACCAGGACGGACTGAACCGTAGCCAGTTTCCTTACCTGGAAAAGGAAGATTTTACACACACAGTTCATCAAATTTCAGCTGAGTCGACCTCGACCCCCAGAGAAATCGCGGCTCTTTGAATCCTCATTCCAGCTCACCGCAGACTTATTCCTGACTCCATGAATGAAGCTCAGGTGGACTCGATCCTCGCGGATTCAAGCGAGGAAAGACAAACAAGGTCCACTCGCGTCTGCAGGAAGGAGCCACGTCCCTCTCCCAGACGGAGCAAGAATTATTCATTCACGCCTACGGGGACGATCATAACTAAAATAGAGACCACCAGCTGCTTGACTAAAGCTGTGTAGCTGCAGCCATTTAGTTGGAACGCTCAGCGTTTCCATGGCAACGCCAGGGGCCCCCGTCAGTCACATGACCCTCAAATGTTTAAAAGTAAAACCATTTCTATGTCAAATACACATTTAGCACTCATACCACACACCGAGACAGACTCACGTGTGTCATTTAAAACAAATATTAGCGCGTTTGCCGTGAGGTTCAATCATTTCAGTTTGTTTTTAATAAAGCACCTTTTGTTTATGCTGCTGTGATATAAAGCAGCTTTTTTATTTTCAGGTTTCACGCGTTCTGTGCCACGAAGAAATAAAATAACCTGAACCTCGGCGAGAAGCACGGACTGTGACCAAGTTTTATAATCTCATAAATACAGTATTTCCATCACATATGGATTATGATGGCAGCTGTAAGGTAGTTTAAAGCTACGGTAACATATTAAGTTAATGATATGGGTCCATCCCAAACAAAAGCTGATGTATAATTATACTTATTAATAATGCTGACATCAGGAGCAGGAGTAGGACTTATGTTGGAGACACCTTTGAAAGATGAAGGAAGCTTTGTGACCTACTGACGACTCGCATCGAGCGTGAGACGAGTTATCGTCTTTGGAAATAAGGACATGACGGAGGTTACTGCTCAGCTCTGCTCCAGAGGAATAAAGACAAAGACCTGGCTTAGATATCTTCATGTCATAATGGATTCAGACCTGAGCTTCACCAGTCACACTAAAGCATCAGGCTTACAACTGAAAGGCTTGCTGAGGACTGTAAAATGAACCCTTTATGATCCAAAGTCGCAATATTGCATTTAATGAGCCACACCTGCAAATATAATCCCTCACAAAGTTACTACTTTACACCAGAGGTTAGTGGAGACATGCAACTTCAATCTGAGCAACACTTCTGTGTGTTTCTATTGAAGTATTTGGTGTTTATAGTTTGACCACCACCACCCTATCAGGAGGCTCCCGACTGGGAGGAGAGGAGTGGAGCACAGAGGAGAACCTCAAAGGCTGACTCTGATTCTGAAGAGTAAAGCCTGATTTATGCTTCTCCGTCTGCGTCAGTGCGGAGACACGCAACGCCATTATCCGTCCTTGCGTAGGGCTCCGGCAGGCACGCAGGTACGTACGAAGTCGAGCCCACTTTTTTAAACATCCGTCGAACGAGACGGATTACGCAAGCTTGTGATTGGTCAGGACGCCGCTGCTGTTTACAGCGCCGCCATTGCAAAGAGAGCCGAGGATAACTAGCGGCAGACACGGAGAAGCTTGAAGAATACCTCGCGAAAAAACTCTAAAAATATGAACGTTTCATCCTCCCGTGACTGGAGGAGTGAAAAGATGCGCAGCAAGCGTTTTATTTGTGGACGGAAATGACAGGAAACGTGGGTTTAGAGGTGGGGAGCGCATGAAGCAGTGGGAGAATGAGAGACAAATATGTCCGTGTTAAAAGTCTCTTATATACACAAAAAACACAATATAAACACACGATCTTGGACCGATACATGACAGGATACCACAGAACAGCGCTACGCCCTCTGCTGTCCTGCTGGGGAATTGCTTTGCAACACTTCCCAGGAGAAGTAGAAGTATGAGAGCAAAACGCTTCCGTCAGTCCGTGCGTGTCTGTCGCTTGCGGAGAAGCATGAACCAGGCTTAACAATCACCCTCTGATGAAGATGTTCTCTCATCCAGTGAGGGAGAAAGTGGCCGCTGTGTGCTTGGTCAGAGTAAAGACGCTTCACACATGATGTTCAGGACATGGTGGGTGCAGAAAGGACGGTAAAAACACCAGAAATGGTGACAGACGTAGCGGGCGTGTAAAAGAAGAAAAAAAGCCGGCCAGATGTGAAGCGTGCGTCATGATTGATTTGAGTAGCGATCGAAATAAAACAGCATTACTAAAAGCGGAAAACTTTACCTTTGAAATCTGAGTGTAACATTTTTATGAAGGAAATTCCCACGAGGGTGGAGCGAGGTGAAGCCAAAACGGGGTTCAGCCGACCGCCTGTTTCGGCCATGTTGGTTCACTAACTTTGGCATTTTGTCCGAAAACCAAAGAATTGAACCTTTGGGTCATTTTCAGCAGAAAAATTTCAGTGAACGAATTTTCGGTGCAGCCCTACGTGCCACCACTGTGAATGGGCGGGGCTTCAGGTTGGCCTCGCTCCAGGAACCGAACTTGGGAAAATCGAGCCGTGATCGCCAGAGTGAGCCTGGCTTATGAGATTAGCTGCTTCATGGAACGGCCCTCAGGTTCCAGAAGCTTCTACTGAAGACACGACAGCAACTCACCTTCCTCTTGAGCTGGATCAGTTTCTCTGGATTCCTCTTCACAGGTAGACGGTCACCTGGTTTACCTGGTAACACACAGAACCTTTAATCTAGACAAGCAGCAAACACCAGACACAAACCGACCCACTCGCAGGTTAGAGGTCAGGCGTGTGTGTGCGCGCGTCTCACCATTCCCGTCGCTCTCTCCAAGCCTCCACAGCTCCAAATGATCAGAAAACTGGAAGAGGAGCAGCCCAGCTTTCTTTGCACAGCTAACGAGATTTCTCTATGAGGAGAGCACACAAAAGGTAAGCACGTTGCCATGGTGACAGCCTTGACCTAAAGCATCTTTAAGTCACTTTCTCTGGGGACCTGATAACTGGGATCAGAGCTCTTGGAACATCTGGACTCAGGTTGACTTCAGCCTTTATCGACTCTCGGGATCATCCTGAACTTAATCTAGATCCATCCTCTTTACATCTGGCACTAATAAGCTTCCAAACATCTGGACTCACATGAGGGAAAATGATTTTACGCATCGCAGACTCCTGGGTGTTCTTCTCCACTTTGTCCAGCAGGGGTCGCACCACCAGTTGGGTGTCCACTCCTGACAGAAAACATCGTCACAATCACTGAAATCATGGGTAACGGATCAGCAGCTCCGGACTGGATCAGCATCTGCCCACATGCACCTACAGATAAATTCACCAACCTCCAGAAACCACAGCCGTGTCGGTGTGAACCAGCGCCCTCACGTCATGCGAGTGGCTCTTAAAGGTCCTGGTTCTGACCCACTGCTTGTCCTGCTGGTCCACCGTGGAGGAGATGAACTGGAACTGGACAACGGTTCCCTCCGACGTTCCAGCGATCACGCTGCTCTCATCCTGTAGGACAGAACCGTTTCAGGGACCGGCACCAAACCGCCGGCTTCAACGTGCAGCTCGGGTCTCATCTCTCACCGGTGACACGGCTAGAACCAGGACGTCCCACTTGGTGAGCAGATGAGTCCGGACCAGCGTTCCGGTGATGCCATCCCAGATCTGGACCTTTCCAGCAGAATCGCCACTTATGATGGTGTGGTCAGACAAGAAGGCGACGCTCCACACCACCACCTCCTGGCTGTTAGAGGTTCGCTGGAGGCCTCGCTCCACCAGCAGTCTGTGTGTGGCGTGACCTGGTGTCAGGACCGGAAACAAGATTTAAATCCAAATTAAATTACAAATTTTTCCATCCATCCATTTTCAACCACTTATCCGGAGTCGGGTCGCGGGGGCGGCAGTCTAAGGCGAGAGGCCCAGACTTCCCTCTCCCCAGGCACTTGGGCCAGCTCCTCCGGGGGAATCCCAAGGCGTTCCCTGGCCAGGTGAGAGACATAGTCCCTCCACCGTGTCCTGGGTCTACCTTTAGGTCTCCTCCCAGTTGGACGTTCCTGAAAACCTCACCAGAGAGGCATCCTGACCAGTTGCCCAAGCCACCTCAACTGGACATTCTCGATGGGGAGGAAAAGCAGATCTACTCCGAGCCGCATCATCTGCATCCCCTCCACACCTTGGCTGCTCCTAGAAATCCTGTCTATAAAGGTTATGAACAGCATCGGTGACAGAACAGCAGCCTCGGTGGAGTCCACCTCTGACCGGGAACGAGCCCGACTTACTGCCGGCAATGTGGACCAAGTTCTGACACCGGTCATACAGGGACCTAACAGCCCGTATCAGAGGTCCTGGTACCCCATACTCTCAGAGTACACCCCCCCCAACACACACACACACACAACACACACACACACACAGGGTCCCCCTAGAGGGACGCAGTTAAACGCCTTTTCCAAATCCGCAAACACATGTAGACTGGTTGGGCAAACTCCCACACACCCTCCAGGGTTCCCCTGAGGGTCTAGAGCTGGTCCAGTGTTCCACGGCCAGGACGAAAACCACATTGCTCCTCCTGAATCTGAGGTTCGACAAGCCGATGAACCCTCCTCTCCAGAACCCCTGAATAGACCTTACCAAGGAGGCTCAGGAGTGTGATCCCCCTGTAGTTGGAACACATCCTGCGGTCCCCCTTTTCAATAGGGGGACCGCCACCCCAGTCTGCAAGTCCAGTGGAACTGCCCCCGATGCATGGACGAAATTTTCACTTTAGAAGTGGGGGGGACACGGGGGGGTATCTTTACAGCATGCTCTAAGGGGAAACAGGCTTCAACACAAACGGTTGTTTTCCGCTTGGTCCTAGAGCTCAACCAGTCTCAATTTAACATAGCGTAAATATTGTTTTTGATAGTAAAAAGTGCAGGGGTCAAAACTTGACTTTGGAAAAAGTGGGGGGGACATGTCCCCCCTGTCCCCCCCCCGAATTACGTCCATGCCCTGATGTCCTATGCATCCAGAGACTTAAGGAACTCCGGGCGGATCTCATCCACCCCGGAGCCTTGCCACAGAGGAGCTTTTTAACCACCTCAGTGACCTCAGCACCAGAGATTTGAGAGGCCAACCCAAAGTCCCCAGACTCTGCTTCCTCACTGGAAGACGTGTCAGTGGGATTGAGGAGGTCTTCGAAGTGTTCTGCCCACCGATCCACAACGTCCTGAGTAGAGGTCAGCAGCACACCGTCCCCACTATAGATAGTGTTGGTAGTGCACTGCTTCCCTCCCCACCCTGAGGCGCCGGAAGGTGGACCTGAATCTCCTCAAAGCCGTACGGAAGTGTTGCTCGATGGTCTCACCAAACTCCTCCCATGCCTGGGTTTTTGCCTCCGTGACCACCCGGGCCGAATACCACTTGGACTGCCGGTACCCATCAGCTGCCTCTGGAGTCCCACAGGCCAAAAAGACCTGATAGGACTCTTTCTTCAGCTTGACAGCATCCCTGACCGCCGGTGTCCTCCAGCGGGTCCGGGGGTTGCCACCACGACAGGCACCGACAATCCTGCGGCAGCAAGTCCGGTCAGCCGCCTCGACGATGGAAGCACAGAAGACGGCTCATTCGGACTCAATGTCCCCCAATTCCCTCGGGACGTGTTGAAATTTTTGTCGGAGGTGGGAACTGAAGCCCTTTCTGACACGAGACTACGCCGGATGTTCCCAGCAGACCCTCAATACGTTTGCCAGGTCTGACCGGCTTCCTCCCCCACCATCGAAACCGACTCACCACCAGGTAGTGGTCGGGTGAAAGCTCCGCCCCTCTCTTCAGTGTCTCTGACATTTTTTAGACAACCTATTCTAAATATAATAAATAAATAAATGAATGGATGAATGAATGTGGTTCATATCCCTTCTGAATGGACTTACCCGTCTCTGCGTCGAAGATTTTGATCATGTCCAACATTCCTGCAGCGATCTGGGATCCAGTCGGATGCCAGGACAGGGAAATGATCCGACCTAACAATTCAGAAACCATCAGATTTCATTCTGCTCCTTAAATATTCGTGCTTGAAATGTACCGCTTTTTGAGGAGACGCAGCAGGTGGAGTGAGTGACATCATCAACTGGCAGGTAAATATATGTAAAAAAAAATCTCCAAAAATGTTACAGCTTAAACTTAGATTCTGTTAAAAACATAAAAAAAAAAAAAAAAATCCAACTTCCAGCCACCCTTTAAACTCTGAGCTACCTGAGCTCCAAAGGGGGCGGGGCTTTCTCACCTGGTTAAACAAAATCTTATCGTTTTCTGTGTGGAAATTTCTCCATTTTTGTGATTTTTTTTCTGTATCAAACCACCGCGGAATGCCACAGCTCAACAATCCTAAATAAACCTGGAGACACCTGGTGACGCTGAACTCACCTTTCTGTCTGCTGAGGTTCCTCTGAAACTGAATCCTGTCCTCCAAAACCTCGAACATCTTCACGGTGCCGTCCTCACACCCAGCCTGTCAAAATAAAAAAGATCCACTGTTAAATAACCGTCAACAATAAACAGGAACTGCTGAGTGCAGTCAGATCTACAGACCGCCAGCAGGGTCCCCTGACTGTTGCTGCTGATGGTCCAAATGGGCCCCCCGTAGGCCTCCATGCTGTTTCTGGGCCTCAGGTTCTCCAGGTCATACTCTGTGATCTCTCCATCCAAACCGGCGCTGAACAGACGCCGGCCCACCCAACACAGCGCCTCCACGGCTTTTCCATCCCGACCAGGAATCACCTGAGAATGAGAACCAAAACATCGGTTAGCTTCTTCTGACAAACGAATAACTCATGCTCTAACTCTCGCTGCTGCTTTTCCAAGCTGTTACCTTCTCTTGATAGTAGTTGTCAGCAAAGTTAAAGATCTCCACGGCGCCATCGGCTCGGGCCACCGCCAGCCGCTCCGTGTGGCTGTTGAACGCCATGACCCGGATGGCGCTGGGCATGTGGTTGAAGAAACGGATACGATTCACCTTAAACTCGCCCATCTCTTTCTGCAACAGGAAATAAAAACAATAATACACAGAAACCACAGGGAGTCCGCCAGCCCCAACCCCTGAAGAACAACAGGGACCAGGTTTCCATCATGCTAGCTTTTATCCTAATGATGTGTTCAAAGGTACTAAAGGTTCAGTAAAGTCCAAAGTTTTTGGTTATTCAGCCACATGAATTATTTTAGGTTTTTCAACTTGATGATTTTGGTCCAGGTCGATACAATCAGAACCCGCCAATCCAACCTATCGTAGCTCCATGAACAACCTCAGTTTGAAGAAACACATTAGTTCTGACCAGATGGATAAGCTAACAGCTAGTCACAATGGGGTAAGTTACTTTTAAAACAAGTCTAATCTGAGAAATGTCATAGTTGATATTTAATTAGATTTACATTACCATAAATGTCATATTCTGCAGAATTACTACATAATTTGAGCTAGAAAGAAAACCACATCTCTAAAAATCAATTTACTGCTGCAAAATAAATACAAAATTATCAGTAAAATATACTAAATTACATTTAATGTGCTGTAATTTTATGAAATGTCCAATAATAGAGTTGTTTAAACAGCAGGTAGACCGTCTGAGACGCTGTTTCTCCTAACTGAGGTTGTTCATAGTTATTTAAATCAGCTGATATTTTACTAAATCAGAACATTTTAACATTCCAAACATCTGAAACGTGTGCTCGTCATGCTCGTTTACATTCACGAGTTTTAGTTTTTTCCTTCTATCCTAGAAACGTCAGGACGTCGTGAAGTTCTTATAAGTAAAATCTAGTCGTTCTGCTGTTTGATTTATTTTGAAAGGCATACCTGTCGTTCGGTGTAATTAGCATATATTTTAAACTAAATATCTTCTTTTATACCAACAATGACGCTTAAAACATCACTCAGCAGCTGAAAAACTTCAGCTACAACAACGACGCCTCCGGCTGACACGACCCTGCTAAACATGAACCCTGTGAAACAATAAAGGAGGGATTTAAACCAGCAGCAGGTGTCTGCTAGTCAGCAACAATTATTAAAAACACCAAAAACAAAGAAAATCCGTTTCTCACCTCCTGTTTCTGTCAAATGTACTTTTTTTGCATCACACGTTTCAAAACACCAGCAACCACGTTGGTGACCTCTAAACCGGAAGTAAAGCCGGAACGGCGGAAATACGTCATAGCAGTGACAGCGCGCGGAGCCGGCTGGAGTCGTTTCTGTTTTGATACTAAACCTGCGAATTAAGTTCCGTTTAAAAGCAAATTGTGGGGAAATTTAAAATAAAATCAGCTTATTTTATCACAGGAGGATGGTTCAGATAGTTATACGGTAAGAACCGAAAACTAATTTATATCCGAACTCGTTTTAATCTAAATGTAGCCTCATTTATTCGATTTAAAATATGTGTGCTGTTAATATTTTGAATTCGAGCGGATCCAGAAAGTTTAAGATGGGGAAAATGTTCAATTTTCAACCAGTCAGAAGCTACTTTAACTAATATTAATTGATATATTTATAGTTTTACACTCTTCCTGTGAGTACGCCACACTGTTACTGGTATTATCCTTTTCACGCTAACAGTGTGCAGTGCCTGTGCAATACCCGGATGCACATTTGCATGTCTGTGTCCTTGACGCTGTTTTGTCTTTGAAACTACATTTTCTAATTGTATTAGTTTTCACTTGCTGTTACAATAATGCTCTTGTGCATTTACCTGTATTATATCTTTCCTAACGAGCCTTAACGAGTGAATTCCCCACCGTGGGATCAGTGTTCTGTTCTATATGGAGACATTTGCTCTGTGTTTAGTGGTTGATGCTGGTGTGTGTGGTCCTGCAGAGGCAGCGTGGACGGCTGCAGCCCTCCGCAGTGGCTGCTGGTGGAGCTGCAGGGAGAGATGGTGTCCAGACACAACTCCGGTCTGGCTGGGAACGTGATGGGAGATCTGCTTTATACCAAAGAGGTGCTGAATACTCTACAACAAATCTGAGACCCACTCAAACTACAAACTAAAACACATTAGAGACCTTTGTAAGCCCATTGCAGAAACATGATGGATTTAATTATTTGGTTTAAGGTTCTAATCATCAAACGCTTCCTGCTTGAAGTGGTGATAGTTTCCACCGCTCGCGTTTATGGTTGTCAAAACAAAAGGGACAAACTTCAGAGGAGCCAGTAGACACTGTGTCATCATCACTGATGAAACTTATGAAAAATACCCAACATAACTTGACCTTTGTTGCGTTTATTTCCACCAGGGGGTGCCGGTGTTGATCGTAGGGCATCATATTCTTTATGGGAAGCTGGTCAAACTGGAGAAACCTTTTGCTGTCCTCAGAAAACATTCAGGAGATTCACCGGACAGTTATGCTGATGACGCCACTCAGATCCCCTTGGAAACAGACCATCAAGGACTCACCTCCACCTCCTACACTGTGTCTGCGCTCATTAAACAGAAGCTGATTTTCAAAACACGTCCCAAACCTATCATTACTAACGTCCCCAAGAAGGTGTAGAACACCCGTGCACCGACCCTGGTCCCTGAAGGCCTCCGTCCTGCGCGGTTTAGTTGTTTCTCAGTTCCGACACACCTGAGTCAGTGGTTAAATGTCCAGTTCAAAGTGTCACAGAGCTCTGCAGAAGCTTTAAAAAAGACACAGATGTTTTGAAGCAGAGAAACACCTAAAATGTACAGGATGGTGGCCCTGGAGGAGCAGTGGACTCCACTGGTGTAGAAGAACAGTGTACCCCCATCTCCGTGGCTGGTTGGACATGTCTGAACCATTTATGTCGATGGTCTGAACTAAAGTCAGTTCAGACGGCTAAACGGTGTTTTGTCAGATACTAAAGTTTCTGTGTTGTTATTTCAAAACATGCTCTAATTAAAATACTGCTTTATGTTTTCTGCTTTAGTCATTTTTACACAGATTTAATATTTTCTCAGGCCTCAAACCCTTACAGTTATTTGTCTTTGAACCTTCTGGTTCTGCTTCAGTTTCTTTTAAACACCGAATCAGATGGACGACGTCTGTTTGGGAGACTTTGAGCCTCTGGGCCAGAAACGCCACGCAGAGGGGCTAGAAGGCGCGGCTGTCTTAAACCAGCTGGGATTTTCTTTCTTTGAGTCAGACGGCCCTTCTCAGACAAACAGTTGTAAAGGATGGGTCGTTTACATCTTACTTATGAACCATAAAATGTGAGATTCCATAGAAACATGAAATATCAATCTGATGGATCTTTGACTATTTTAACCAGAAGATCAGAACTTTTTATTGCAGGGATTAAGCGACACTTTGTATTAACTCCGAGGAAAGAGAGAGAGTCAGGTTTAAAATAGTTAAGAAATTTATTTCTACACAATTTAAACAAGACTAACTTTAAAACTCAGTGTACTGATGGACTAAGGTGGAGTGAGACGTGAGATGAATGATGGTGTGTGTGTGTGGAATGCTATTCAGAACCAGCGGATCCGGAAAAGCAGTTCTGAGTGGGAGTGAATGTTTCGCTCTAAACTTCAGTAGGAGATTTATAACACACATGAAATGCCATCTGTCAGTCTACGTACCCCAGGGGAAGCCTCCGTTAGATCCAGAATGTCGAGGTCCTCTCGGACCCTCCTTGGTACCGAAGCCGGTAGAAAAGCAGCGGTGCCGACCAAACTAGTCTTGGAATGCTTCCAGGTCACGACAGGTTATCACTGGCGTCTCCGAGACCCTGAAGGGGTCGTGAGGTTCAGCTTTTATTCTGAAGGAACCGTTGCGTGCAACAGATTTTATCCAGCTTGTCGAGGTTCTTTATCGCTGAAGAGGAAGTCCGGATGGCCGGTCCGAGACTTCTCTAGAACACTTGAACTAAAGAAAAGGTGGCGTGGGATAATTTTTATAATTGTCATATTTTGGTTTACTGGCGAATCAGAATTTGACATGCAAACGAGGGTTTATACAAACGCCACGGATAAGCACGCCTAGCCCCAGAAACGAAGGTTCTGATTGGGTCAGACAAAAGGAAATGAGTCGTGTGACTTTAGCATAACGTGTCATCAGTGTCTAGTGCAAATGTCCAGGATTATAATTACTTGTAAAATACTACTGATCACAGGATTATAATAACAAGTAAGAACATTGTCATTTCACAGATTGATTGAACATTGGGCTCACATTATTATTGGTAACAAAGTTGTTGATTATGTGTTAATCAAAATAGTTCTTCGCTGTAACAGAGGTGAAGCAGTTCAGATGAGCAGAGTGCATGAAAGACCTTGGCCACTATCTCATGTAGATTAGGCTGCCAGAGACTTTATGTCTCTGCTCCAGCAGACGCAGCAGACCTTCAGGTCAAAAACAGGACATTCATGACGCTACACCGTGTGGAGGAGAAGTTGCTGGAATCCTTCAGGAGGTTAGCAGACATGTCTTGTCTAAAGGCCTGAAGCTGGCTCTAACCCCGGCTTTCCACGGGAGCCGTCAGCAGCACGTTACTGCAGCAGCACGTCATAGCTGCTGATAGGAACCGCTGTGGTCAACAAAACCTTTTCCACCGGAGCCATCAGCAGCGCGAGTCGGCCGCGTCTCAGGAGCAGCATGTCGCGGCCTTTACGCGCCGGTTCTATTTTCTACGCGCGACGCCTCTGAAACGGGTCAAGTTCGACATTTTTGGGGAAGGAAAGACAGGAAATCGGCTGCGGAAATGGAGAGAATCTACCGAGATTTTCAGAATAAAGAACGTACTGCCTTCCGGTTGCTTTACTTTTAAAAACAGTTACTAACTGTGTGGCCCCGTGAGAAGTTATCACCTAGCTAGCGGTCTCCTTTGTTTTTCAGGTCCGTATTGGCGATTATAAAACGGACAGAACATAAAACACAAACCATGTTGTAGTTTTCTCCTGCTTGTTGTTGTGTTTACTGACGAAGTCACTCGTGTGACTTCGTGCTCGGTCGGTGACAGCTGCTCCCCTGCTGCTTCGCGTCTCGTGGGAAGGGCCAAGCAGCAGTTTACGCGAGCAAGACGTGCTGCTGCAGTAACGTGCTGCTGACGGCTCCTGTGGAAACCCGGGGTAAGACCCGAGTGTGTTGCTGAGGAGCCGTGGGAATGGTTGCAGGTAAAAGATCACATAAATGACCACATGAAGAACTTTGTCATTTCTGTCACCAAAACATGTGATCCACGAAAATATAAACACTGTTTTATTACTGATTAATAAAGTTACATTTTACAAATCTCAGTTTTGTGAAGCTGAACTTTTTAAAGAGCAAGTCACCCCCAAATCAACTTTTTTTGCTGATAAACTAAATAAACGAGTGTAATTGTGCTGCAGACACGTGTGGTCAATAATTTGGCACTTCAGTGCATCTTAGTTAAAATTTAAACATTCTGCCTAAAACTCAGTGTTGCGCCGACGTCAGGGAAAAATTCTGCACTGTATTTGAATTTAAACAGAGTATCTGCGGGTCCTTAAAAAGTCTTAAATTAGCTTTTCCAAATTTAAGGCCCTAAAAATCCTTAAAAATGACAAATACTCCTTAAATACAGTTTCCAAATGTCTTAAATTACCAAAGACCCAATAAACAAGATTCTTTGATTTCTATAAAAATTTCGTGAATGTCTAGTTAGTGTTCAGCATTTTTTGTGTACGATGTTGGCGTAAACGGAACCGTACACGTTCAGTTGGTTGTGAAAGGGGGCTATTTTTAGATGAGCACATTAGCTGGTTAAGCTAGTGGGAGCTTGCGCCATGGGGAAGTGCAAGTTTAATGGTAACTGGATGGTTAATCCCACGTTCGCCACGTGGTTAGCACCGGTTCCAGGCAATAGCTGGAAATTATAGCTTACATTTAATTTAAAAAAATAGCTTAAATTTGGTCAAAGTGGCCTTAAAAAGGTCTTAAAAAGTCTTAAATTTGGCTCCCTTAAACCTGCAGATACCCTGTTAAATCTGCCACCGCTATTGGCTAAGAGGTATGCTATGATGTTAGCTGGTACATTGTGATGTCACAATGCCGTTGTGAGCCTGTGTGTGTGTTTATTTGTTAGCAGCTCCGCCCTCTCGGTCTGCCAGACAACAGCATTTGTTGCATTGTTCAAACACGGAGTGGGCATGGAGTACGTTTCTTGTAGGGGGTGACTTGCTCTTTAAATTCCACCTAGCTGTTTGGGATTTTAGGACCTCAAACAGAAAACAAAAATGATTTAGAACATTTCTAAAATATACAATTATGAGCATTTATTATTACAACCATGTCTGAATAATAACAAGCCTAAGTAAACAAGTCATCCGGTTAAGGACGACTATTTTATTTCTGGTATTTTTTTTTTTTTACTCTTCTCATGCATCAAAACATCAAGTTGTTCCAAAGCTGCTTTGGGACCCTTCTCAATCCCTTTTCATCGCTCCGCTTGATCCTTTGAAACAAATCATTAACCTGCACATTTAATTTTATAACAAAAAACACTTATTTTTGAAAGAATATCTTATAAATAGATCATAAACTAAACGGTGATGGACTGAATTTCAGATTCAGTCTGAAAACAGTGAGACGGAGGTCAGTTTAGTGAGAAACGGTAAAAACGTCTGTCGTAGCACTCGTGTGTGTGTGTGTGTGTGTGTGTGTGTGTGTGTGTGTGTGTGTGTGTGTGTGTGTGTGTGTGTGTGTGTGTGTGTGTGTTTGATGAAGGTGTGTCACCACCAGTGAAACGGTGTTTTGTTAGACCACTGAATGGATTGATTCATTAAGCTGCTGTAACACATTTCCAGGATTTAGACACCTCCCTCACAGACACGTTTTCTCAGACTAAGTTTGAAGTCTGGTTTTAAACTCTGAATGATCCCAGGAAGTTTGTTGCCTCACAGTTTTATGTCTTGACTCCTTAAATGATGGTTTTGCTTCCGTTTATTTTTCTGTCCTCCATCTCCGGTCCAGGACGGGTTTTAGGGGTGTCCAGTTCTCCAGACCTCCATTCACCCAGCTCTTTCAGGGGAACACCAAGGTATTCCCAAAATCAGCCGTGAGAAAGCTGATGGGGAATGATCAGCCTGGTAAAATGTCCAGGAGGCCTAGATGTCCTCAAACACTTCAGCTGAGTCTGTTTGATGCAGAAAAGCTGCGTCATGGGTGGGAACCTCCCAAGGACACACGGACGTATGACACCACAACATCTGCATTAGCAGACAGGAGACTCCTAACTCCACATCTTCCTCTCAGTGAAAACAAACTGGGACATTTTCTATAAACAGGTTGATCCCTGCCAGAGAGAGAGAGGCCATCTGTGTTTTAAGCTCAAGCTTAGTGATGGGATGGAAAAGCATCACTGCCTTTGTGTCGTGGGACAGGATTCAGAGCAGTGAAACCATGGTCATATTTATTTGGGGAGTGCAATCTCCATCCATGATTTTATATATATATATATATATATATATATATATATGTGTGTGTGTGTGTGTGTGTACATATATGTATATATATATATATATATATATATATATATATATATATATATATATATATATATATATATACATATATGTACACACACACACACACACACACACACATATATATATATATATATATATATATATATATGTGTGTGTGTGTGTGTGTGTGTGTGTGTGTGTGTGTGTGTGTGTGTGTGTGTGTGTGTGTGTGTGTGTGTATATATATATATATATATATATATATATATATATATATATATATATATATATATGTGTGTGTGTGTGTGTGTGTGTGTGTGTGTGTGTGTGTGTGTGTGTATATATATATATATATATATATATATATATATATATATACACACACACACATATATATATGTGTATATATATATGTAAATATATGTATGTATATATAAATATATATTTTTTTGTAACGTATAATGTGTTTGTTGATTTACATGTTCAATAGATAGAAATAGAAATTTAGAAGTTTGTTTTTCTGTTGTCCAAATAAACTTAAATATTTATAATGTTTCATAGAGTTGGGAAATTTAAGAGCTCTGAACTCGGCCTAGTGTTTACTTATGATATTTTATGTATTTGTTTATTTATTTATTAAGTTTTGTGTGTGTGCATGTCTGTATTTGTTGTTCGTATGTGTGTGTGGTTGTGTGTTACTTAGGAAATGGGTTGTGGAATGGGGGGGGGGTATTTGGGGTGAATTTACCCTGTAAAGCACTTTGAGCTGTATTTTTGTACATGAAAAGTGGTATACAAATAAAGTTTGATTGATTGACTGAAGAGTTGTCAAAAGTTATTGCAAACTCTTCTTCTGCAACGACAACAGTCGCCCCCTTCTGGCCACTTGCTAGAATACAAGTTCCATCTGACCTGCAGACGCCCTGGAGGACTTGGCCAGTGAGTGAAGCGTGTCTCATGCAGATGTAAGATGCCGTAGTTTTGTTTTCAGGGGCAAGTTTGGATTCTAAAACTTTCAGAACAGCAAGAATCAGGAAAACGGAAACAAACTGAAAGGAAGTTGGAGCAGCCTGGTTCAGCATGAATGAGAAGATTGTGTTTCTTACAGAAAGAATGTTTAATGACTTTGGAAAATTCCAGCATCCTGCAACACCCCGAGATGGAAAATCAAGAAACAAGAGTGGCTCCAGTTTAAAACAGAACATGACTTTAATGTATGGATGCCTAAGTTTAAACTAAAACAACAACACATGAAAGCAAATCCACTGGAAACATGCTGATGGTTCAAATCGCTTTGGTGTTCATCGGACTTCACACTGATGACAACACAGATAAACAAAAACAAACTGCTCAGTAGGAGAACCTCAGCGTTGTTTGGCACCATTACAGAAATCTCTGACACGGAGTGGTTCTGATAGCTGCAAAGGAACTGGACCTTCATCTGAAATGGTTCACCAGCACCAACACTGCAGCTGCACGCTCAGAAATGTTCTGATTGTCTGCTGGTAGCAGATGATTGTGCTGTTCATGGAGGAGAGGACGGTCTCAGAGCTGCTGGTTGTAAAGGAAAGTGGTCCTGGAGATATGGGGCGCGGACAGGAAAAGCAACACTTTAAAATAAACTTCAACAGCTTTTGTTTACGGCATTTAGCTTTAGAAAAGGAGGTTTACAACAAACGTGCGCAATTAAATCTAAATATGGAAAAATACTTCAGAATGATGAATAGTTTCAATCTAAATATTTAGCTAAATTCTGCACTGAAACTCTTCAACCCACAGCTTCGTCTTCTTCTGATTCTTAAATCTGAAACTATTTTGTCTATTTCGTTTAGTCTAAATGTGTTTGTGCATTTTAATCGTGCTGTCACGTTGATTTTAATGTTCACGCTATTCTTGCTAAAGGGAAGAACATTGAATTGCCTCTGTGTATGAAATTCAAATAAAGCTGCCTATCAAAATAAAAGCAGGACGGGGAGATCCTAAGGTATTTTTGTGTGTGCGTTACTTCACAGATTATTATTTCAGGAAGAATGCAAACTGATAAAAGATTAAGATTAACAGATTCACACAGTCTTACATCTTACAGCAGTCTGAATTCAAATGTTAGCTAAACATTTATTTTAAAACTGTAACATATATTTATATTTTAGCATTTAAAAAGAAGTTTTCTTGTAAAAATTGTCAAGGTAAATTAAATTAGTTAAAAAAATAGATACTATTGCAGTTTTCTAAATGAATGTGGTTTGAAAATGCCGCTTCACTCCCGTTTTTGCTGCTACGAGGAGCTGAATGTGTATTCTTTTATATTCAGCACCCCATAGGAGACCTTCTGAGACCGTTCTTGTCAGATCTGTTTGATGTTCCAGGTCCGTTTGGATCCATCCGTCTCGTAAATCTTCTGAATCTTTCTTCTGGATGTGTGAAATCTTACAATAAAACCGTTTCGTCTTCCCTCTGAAGCAGCCACGGTCGTCTTTTCAAAAAGGTTTGATTAGATAGTTTTAACATTTAGCATTTTTAGTGGGTTTAGCATCAGGTCGGTTAGTGAAAGCATCAAAGAAAACAGTTTGACAGAAGGGTTAGGAAACACTGTTGTTGACGACTCCGAACGCCGAGGAAACGTTGGTAACTTCTGGAGAACTGTTGATCAGAACAATTACCAAAAGTAAAGTCGGGCGGCTTGGATGGAAAACATAAAGAGACGAGGACTGGATTAAGGTTTTCGCGTGGGATTACTTCAAATTAAAAGCATGTTTTTCTAACTGACAGCAGCATTTTTTATTTACACTCAGATATTCACGTCCATGAATCCCTCGAGTGCAAATGTTTCCCTCTTCACCTGAAGATTTCTAGTCAAGCTACTTCTGTTTGAGAAATGTCCGTTGTCTAATTTCAGCACTAATCTGCGAGCTCCCGGCAGCAGATGAAGTGATTGTTTCTGTTTGCTGCTGGTGAAGGTTGTTGGTCATTGGGGTGGGGGGTGGGGGTCGGCAGGTCTTAATGAAGGCAGCTGGACATAATTATTTTATTTTGAAAACTTTTCAGTCCTGATCTGAGGAGCAGAGATCCTCCAGCCTTTGATTCGTTTTGATTCGTTTCCTCCATTTTCACCAGGATTTAATCTGGAAGCACTCGTTTAAAGACTCGTGTGACGGTGGGCAGTCGGTGGCGCCGTGATGCCAGATCATTGCTGCTCTGCTCCACCATGAAGCACCGTGGGCTTGCTGCTTCTGATGAGCCTGTTTCCCCTCTTCTCCACGTTCTGGAGATGAACCTGCATGGATCTGAGACCAGTTGCTTGTTGTTTTCACCACTGAAAGACCTTTCTCCTCCCGTCTGAAACGGGAGCAGAAGCGATCTGGTTTATTTCTTTTTAGATTCAGCTCTACAGCGAACTCATGTCCAGAAACCACCTCTGAGCCACAACCTGAATCCAGTCTTCCGGGTTGGGCGGGAAGCACCAATGAGCCGCTAGGATCCAGACACCCTCAGACCGGATTGGGTGTAGCACCAGTAAAGATCCCAGCTCTAGTGGAACGCAGGCTGGATGTCCCTGTGGGGGTTCGGGGTCACGCCTCTGCGTAAGGCAGGTGATACTGCTCCTCCCTCTTGTTGCACCTCTTGGCTACAATAGCCAGGTAGAGCACCAGCAGGATGAGCCAGTAGCAGCCGTAGAGTATCGTCCCTGCTATCAGCAGGGCCTTCTCGGTTTCACTCAAGGGCTCCTGGGTTTCACAGTAGACCGTATACGCCACGCCTCCGAGCAGCACCAGAGCCCACACTGTGACCGGCACAGCGCCAATGAGGTTGACAACAATCCTCCGACGGCCCGACGTCCCCCACCCAGCCTTGTTGATGGTGAGCAAGGCAAACATTTTGGCAGGGAGGAGGCTGGACATGTAGAGCAGAGAGTAGAGCGACATGAAGATCATCACTAGGCTTCCACGTAGGAAGCAGGCGTAGGTGGCCTTAACCATCCCGACCAGCTGGACTGTCAGTAGGAAGAGCAGGATGTTCCACAGCCGCCCGCGGTAGAACAGGTGGATGACTGTAGCAACCAGAAAGAAGGGGAAGAAGCCAGTGACCACAGACTCATAGGTCATCCAGAGACTGTGCTTGTGGAACCACAGGGCGTTGTAGAGCCACTCACGGAAGTACGACTTGCTCCATCGAGTCTGCTGGTTGAGCCAGCGCAGGTACTGCGTGGGCGTCTCTGTCTGGCACTGTGACCGCGCCGTGTACTTAGTCTTGTAGCCAAAGCTGAGCACCCGGTTGGTCAGGTGGCGGTCATCACCAAAGCTGCACTTGGAGCCCAGGAAGGTCTGATGATACCAGGGCTCCAGGAACCGCTGCAGCAGGGAGTTCCTGTACATCCCTAACGGGCCGCTGATGCACTGGACGCAGCCGAAGTACGACTGGCAAGCACGCTCGATGTTGAAGGCCATCCAGTAACGCACGCTGCTCAGGAAGGAGATCCACGAGTCATACTTGTTGAGGATCTGGAGGACAGCACAAACACACAAAGATTATCCCGTTTCTTGTTATTCATGCTTCCTGTGTGGTCTAATGATTCATTCCTTTTTGTTTAGAGTTAGTCAGATAATCTGACATTTAACAGAAAATGTATGATGTTCCTTAAGGAAGTGCTCCAGGCTGCACAGGAAGTGTTCAAGGCTACACAGGAAGTGTTCCAGGATGCACAGGAAGTGCCCCAGGATGCACAGGAAGTGCCCTAGGATGCACAGGAAGTGCCCAAGGATGCACAGGAAGTGCCCTAGGATGCACAGGAAGTGCCCAAGGATGCACAGGAAGTGCCCCAGGATGCACAGGAAGTGCTCAAGGATGCACAGGAAGTGCCCCAGGATGCACAGGAAGTGTTCAAGGCTACACAGGAAGGTCTCCAGGATGCACAGGAAGTGCTCAAGGATGCACAGGAAGTGTTCAAGGATGCACGGGAAGTGCTCCAGGATGCACAGGAAGTGTTCAAGGCTACACATGAAGTGCTCAAGGATGCACAGGAAGTGCCCCAGGATGCACAGGAAGTGTTCAAGGCTACACAGGAAGTGCTCAAGGATGCACAAGAAGTGCCCTAGGATGCACAGGAAGTGCCCAAGGATGCACAGGAAGTGCTCCAGGCTGCACAGGAAGTGTTCAAGGCTACACAGGAAGTGCTCCAGGATGCACAGGAAGTGCTCCAGCCTGCACAGGAAGTGTTCAAGGCTACACAGGAAGTGCTCCAGGATGCACAGGAAGTGCTCCAGGCTGCACAGGAAGTGCCCCAGGATGCACAGGAAGTGCCCAAGGATGCACGGGAAGTGCTCTAAGCTGCTGCTTAAGCTTGTAAATAGTCATCAGATTCCACATTAAAAGTAATATTTACTGCAGACTAAAGGTTAGTAAAATGTTCGCATGAAATGTTTAAGACTACTAGTCTCTTAGTCATAGACTAGTGTTTTGTAAAGAAATCCACTTTGCTCAGACTAGCCGTTAGCACATCAATAAACTCAGAACTGGTCTCTATTCTACTTTACTTAAGACATGTGGTTATGGAAGCATGAGCAGCTGATCATTATTTTTATTAATAATAATATTATTACTGTAATAACAACAAATGTAAGGTATTATGCTTCTTATTCAAACACCCCTGAATGTTAGAAATTTTCAGTTGAATACATTATTTTCTGTGCATTATACTATGGAGCTAAATACACTCAACCAAGTGGCTGACCTGCTGTTTAAAGGGTTAAACTATTTAAATGTAGTTTTAGAGGAGTTGAGTAAAACTGAAGGTCTGATTCACAAGCCTGGAGGTTTTCAGTGGAAAGATTGTTGATTAAAAAGTGTTGCCAGGTTAAAATAGCAGCTTTGCTCCCGAGTCATGACTCCTCCTGCTTCTCTAGACTCAGATCGCTCTGACTTCTGCAGGAAGAATCCTGATCGACTCATTCGGCACCAGTTACAGACAGAACGAGTCCTGCAGCTTCACCTGAGGCTGAGTTTTACCTGAACGTCTCCACCGACCCCGCCCACCATCGGATCCTCTTCAAGGACTTTCAGCATCTCAATGGTGCAAGCTGGGTCGAGCACGGTGTCGGAGTCACACACCTGGGAAGGGAGGCATCACACACACGCACGCACGCACGCACGCACACACACACACACACACACACACACACACACACACACAGAGCTCAGTATGCTGACTGGTATTTATGGTAAAATCCTGCAGAGAAATGAGAAGCTGCTGACGGAGAACCCAGCTGGGTCACCGAAGCTTCACAGCACCGAGTCAGCTGTGGACATGACCTTTGACCTGAAGCAGCATGGCCCATCAACACCAGCCCACCGGACTGTTCCTGTTTCCTCACTGAAAGCCAGCTGCATAAATGTGATGCTATAGATCAGTTTGTAAACAAACAGCTGAAAACAAATCTGAAATTATTATTTCCGAATTAAATCAGATATTTTTGACCCCACTGGCTTTGTCCAACTCAAGATAATTCTTAGTGATTATGTAAAAGAAGCTTTTTAACTTCTTAAGATGTTAAAATTAGTTCAAACTTTAGATTTAAGCTTCAGAAGAGAAGAAACGTTTTGGATCAGAGATGAAACCTCTTTGCGAACCAAAACCTTCGTCCACTTGTCCTGATTCGGGGCTCAGAACGAAAATGGTGTTTTTATTTGTGCTAATGTGTTGTTACAAGCTGCAACATTTCATCATGATGGAAACGGTCATAAAAATCTCCACCTGAGACTTCAACATTAAATAAAAACCTGATTTTGTTCTAATGTGCTGCAGAAGTGGCTGATCTGCCAGTTGAAGGCTGAAAACTGAAACCGAGTCGTGACTCAGAAATGTCTCTGAAGCATCTTGTCTTCTCAGAATCTTCAGCTTTCTGTTCACTTTCCAGATACTAAACAGACTAAAGTCCTCTGATCAGAACACCGGCGGACGTGACGGAATTATTTCCTGGGACATTTTTATTCCGTCTCTTTTTCAGTCCTCTTGTCTAAATTTGGTCCCTTTGGCTCCGGCGAGTCTGACACGGCGAAGGCTGAATGTTTACAAAGCAAACACACGACAAACCGCCAGGATGATGTCACAGAAGATTAGTTCAAACATTTATTTATAGGACTCAGAGGAATGTGTGTCTGTTAGCCTTCCCAGCTAAACCAGCAGAGCTCCGCCAAACCTGAACTTTACTTTCTGGGAACCAAATTCATGTTTAGGACTTTTTTGGCCAAACTGACCTGGAAATGTCTGTGGGACTGGATTCACCCAGGCAGAATTTTGCTGAGATGAAACAGGAAGTGATTTTCTCACCTGGACATAGTCCACGCTGTCCCCCAGAGCTTTAAAGGCGGTGTACATCACCTCCCGTTTCCCCCCCCACTCCTGCATGACGCAGGAGTAACGACAGCCTTTCACCAGCTGAGACACTCGGGACACCTCCTCCATGTGCACCGCGCTCCTCCTCCCACCTGCGACTCCTCCTCCTCTGCTCCCATCGCTGTGAAAGTTTCCCTTCCACACCATGCTCCCGGCCTGCTCGGCTCCTCCCATCACCTCCTGGAAAATGTCCATCATGTATCGGTCCTCGGGCCGGTTTCCATCCACCACCAGCACCACCTTCAGGCCTGGAAAGGAGATCCGCCGGATGCTGCGCAGGCACTTCCTCAGGTAGTCCGGGTCCTCCTGATACGCTGCGATGCAAAGTGCCACGGAGCGCCGGAGGTGCTGAGGCCGGGAGGGGCTCCTCATCCGCCGGTGCTCCAGGAAGGCGAAGAGGCTCTGCAGGAAGAGGTGGAGGGAGAGGAAAGCACCATAGAGGCCGAAGGAGAGGTGATGCTGCTCGGTGTGGATGAACTGGTACCCTTCAAACAAAAACAGGATGAGCATCACATGTTTTATCCTTAAGAACATGCTTCACTGTGTGAGTGAACCTGTGACGTAGGCCAGAAGGATGGTGAAGAGGACCACCGCAGCGAAAAGGGTGGTGACCACGATGTTCAGCGCATTCCTGCAGCGAGAGGGCATCTGGAGGAGACAGGGGTAGGAGGTAGGGAGCAGGAGACAGGAGACAGGAGACAGGAGGAGGTAGGATATGAGCAGGTCCGTTCGTGGACAAAAAAAAAAAAACATTTGCATACATTTCCACACCCATGTCAGTTTGTACATTATACAGATATTTGTGCAGAAGTTTGAAGAGATTCCAGCCCGACTCGACCTCTAGATGCTGCAGAGCTGCACGGAGGTGCAGATGACGGCACGGATGCCTCACACCAGGAGCTTTAGCATGTTCTCTCCATGCATGCAGCTTTTCTCCGGGTACTTCGGTTTCCTCCCACAAGCAAGCAACATGCATGTTTAGGTAAATATTAACAGTTTAATAATGATCTTGCACATTTCTAGAGCCTTTCCAACTCTCCTAAGCACTTCACAGTAAAATCACACACACACCGATGGTGTGTGTCCTCGGGCGCACCGAAAAAAGCCACCGGGCCTTCTGAACACCACCAGCAGGTATAGGGTGAAGTGTCCTGCCCAAGGACACGACAACTGACACCAACAAAGCCTGGGCTCGAACCAGCAACCCAGCAGGGAAAACCCCTGAGCCATCGCCTTAAAGCACAATAAAGAACAAATATTATTACTACTAAATAACCACAGAATTTAATGTAATTACTAATTACTCTTGCATGAACCAAATGACATAACGAAAGGCTAAAATCAGACTAGCTGTTAGCTCATCAGTCCTGATGGCTGAAAACTCCATTTCTTTGAGCAGAGGCTGTTCAGGGAGAAATCTTAGGGGTGAGAGATTCTTTTACAACATTCATACAAAAACTCACTTGAGAAAGTCTGAAGAACCATGCTAAAAGTCAGTGACTCCAGTATTTCGTGTGTTTTTACGTTACGTGGTTCCTGCAGACCTGTTAGCAACATGAGCCTTTATTTGCTCTTTGGGTCTGAGTTACAGAGAAACGAGCTCCTGGACAGTAGAGAGCTTGTTGTTCCTGCGTTTGCTGACCCAAGCGTCGTTTCCTGGTCGGTTCTGTAAAAACAGACGGCCATTGGCTGAGAACACCTCAGCATCAGTCGCTGACATCACAGAGATGCAGCGGCAGAGAAAGCACCACTGGGTCGATGAGTTCTGACTCCTGCTGCAGTCCTCTCTCCGGGTTAATAGCTCTAATTAAAGGCCAGGCGGGGCTTGGCCAGAAGCCAGAACGGGTCCAAACAGGAACAATTCTCCTTCATTCATGAAAAGACCCCCCCCCCACCCCCCCCACCACCACCACCTGAGCCCCCACCTGTCCAGACAGGTTTCCTCTGGTCTCCTTCAGCTTTATCAGCTTCTCTGATTGGTTGTGCTGATTTACAAACTGGCCCTGAGTCAGTCTTTCACTGTGGTGCGTTCAGGTGAATCTGTCAGATTTCAGGTCAGAACAAAAAGGGTTTGGATCAGAAACAGAACACATCATTTTTATGTGTCATCGCCGACATTTAGGGTCAGAATCACCAGAGAACCAGCTTCTCGAAAGGATCTGCACTCATTTCAGCAGATTATGAGACTGGAACCTTTGGCTCTTCCCACTGGGCAGAACCAAGACGGTGGAATCAAAGAGCTGAAAAGAAGAAATCTGAGCACTTTTGTGCAGTTTGGGATCACTTTACCAAAAATAGGGCTACATAGATCTGACTAGGAATTTCCTGACCTACTTAACATGAATTCTGGAGAACATCTGATTTAGTTCTGAGCTCTGGAGACTTGGACTCTTTTCCTGTTTTAACACCTGAGCACTTGTGACTGAGGGGCCGTCTTCGGACCGGCTGGTTCTGGGGTTGTTGGGATGTTTTTGAGCCCAGAAGAGAGGTGGAGATCCTCAACCAGAAGATTTCTACCTCGCATAAAGATCCAGTTTATCTGGTGCATCATCAGAATTGAAGCTGCGTGAGAGAAATCACGTTCAGTCACTGCTGGTCAAGACCAGGCAGCACAAGATCCTGCCTCTCAAAACAGGAGCAAGAACACAGAAGACAGCTGGAGACTCGAGGCACTGGACTCACTTTGAGACGAATAAACATCACCACGACAATCAAAGCAGAGACCTTGTCTCTTTCCTTCTAAAGGTGATCAAATGTCTTTTATCTGGTAAAATGTGCTGGTAATTAAAACGTCAGCAGACTGGAAATCTGCAAAAACACAAATCCAGGAGTCGTGTTTCCTCCTGAGTCCCCGTAGTCCAGACGTGTCCTCGTTAGAGGACTCTTATCAGAGTCAGATTTCTTCCAGACTCTGTCGGAGCTGGCTCCTTTTGGAGTTTTCACAATGAGATTAGAGAGAAATGACGTCCATCAAAAGAACATTTAATACAAAACTGCAAAAAAATCATTTAAAAAATAAATACTTGTCTTTTTGAGTATTTGTATCTTAACGTACGGTGGCCCAGAAGGTTCAATGTAATGCAAAAGAAGCATCAGAAAGCTGCCATTCAAAAACAAATGTGTTTACATGTGGTAATGTTTATTCTGCCCCCTGGTGGACAATCTAATCACTGCAGGCAGGATGCGCCAATTTTATTGTTTAATCCTGACGCCATAAAATATGGCTGATAATGATTTAATTGTTCTGATAGTGACTAATAAAAGTATAATTACCCGATTATTAATGTCTCTAAAGGATTATTTCAGCTTCTTCATTCAACTAGGAAGAGTAATAGTTTATTAATAAGGTAATGATGAGGAGAAATGGAAAAAAAAAAAAAAAGAAAACGCTTCAGCTGGATATTTGATCCAGAACAGAAACAATAACATGTAAAGAGCTGCTGGCAGATTAGCAGATGGATCCGACACCAGGAAGTCACACCTGGTGGATGAGAGGGGGCGGGAGCTGCAGGTGGGCTCTGCTGCCGCACAGCTGGAAGTCTGTCTGCAGGGATAAAACTCCCAAACAAAGACCGAACCAGTACAAAACCATAAACTAACATGAAGCTTTAGAATCAAAAGCCAAGTTCAGGACAAACAAGTGGATCTTCTGACTGATGAGAAAACAAACCGAGTCATATTTCAGGTCATAAAGACAAAACTTTACATTTCTGAATTTGTAAAAAAAATAATTCGTTTATTAAAAATTTGTCCAGGCAGAGAAAAGTCACACATTCACGTTGGAGATTCTGGACACAGAAAACCAAAGATTTAAAGGAAAATAAAACTCAAAAAGATTCATAATTATAAAAGAAATCTGGTTAGAGCTCAGATTGAGCAGGAGGACTGGATTAATCCCTGCCTCCTCGGGTGGAGGAGGTGTCTCTGCAGGACCAACGGGAGGACTGATCAGGGCGACAAATAATAAAGAAAGTAAAATAATCTGAGAAAAAGCGTCTTTTATAAAGTTCAGAAGAATTCTGATGTTAGTTTTTAGGTTTTATTGTCGAACGGCTTCATACATGTCATCATGATTTATAATAAGTAAGAAGCTGAATCAGGATGATTTCTTTTATTGAACTTTTCTGCTAAATTTGAACACAATCTTAATATTTTATTAGAAGTAATGATACACAAATAATAAATAAATAAAATTGGTGCACTCATGCTGAGGATTCCATACATCGGGTTTCTGAGGAATGCACTGATCCTGTTAAGGAAGCAGAAGATCTGAGATGATCTAATGTTTGATTTACAAAAGTATTTTTTATCCATCAGAATGAACTCAGCTTTGTTTTATGATGACATTATTCTGATTATTTTATAATTGCTATAGTAACATTCCCAATGAATCAATTATTAGTTCAGTTTAAAATGTTGATTTATATCATTACTGTTGTTGTTATGAACTAGCGACAAAGCAAATTGCTGCTAACAATAAAATATTCACAGCAGTTTATTCTGATACCGGATTAAAACTTTTCACTTCCATATTTATTTATTAACATATCATTTAGGAGTTTTTCATATAAAATAAAGGAAGAGATTTGAATGGACTAATAGAAGATCCAAATCTTTCTATGAAGACAGAAATCTTCTGGGATCATCCACCAGCTTGTTTGATCAGAACTCATCCCCAGTTCTCCAAACTGAGGCTGTTCATAGAGCTATCTCCAGCAGGTGAAATGTTAATGAGAAAAGATCTGATCTGGCTTCCTGTTAGAGTCGTGACCTGCAAACGTCTCCTCTCTGGAGCGATGTCCACCGTTGGGCTAAAACCAACAGAACTGGACCAAACCGGTTTTATTCTACTGGAAAATTAACTATAATAAATACCTGAAGGGGGGCATGCGGGGTTTGTGCATTTAAGAAAATAAAACAGAAAACAGTTCAGTTACAATATTTGAAAGAAGAAAATAATGACTTGGTTTGAAAGCAGCTCTTTGTTTGTTTGGAAACTCTAAAGTCGTGTTTTTGTACTTGAAGGATATTTATCAGAAAATATAATGAATCTGTCCAAAAGTCTGCAGGGAATAAAATAATTATCTTATTCTGAGTTTCGTTCCTGAACGGTCAAGAGTCAGTTAACCCCCCCAACTAACACACACACACACACACACACACACTGCACCCCTCAGGGTGAGAAAAACCCACATCAGTTCAAATGAAACCCTGTTAGGGCCAGACAAACTATTGTTAGCAGCAGACTTTGTGTGTGTGTGTGTGTGTGTGTGTGTGTGTGTGTGTGAGAGAGAGAGAGAGAGAGAGAGAGAGAGAGAGAGAGAGAGAGAGAGAGAGAAATGACTGATAAGTACTTCACTGAGACTTTCAGGTTACTTTTTCCTCCTGACAACTCTAGTCCCGTGTTGGTACGAGCAGGTTCTGGTTCTGACCACCAGAGCAGAACTCAGCAGGTCCAGTGTGTGAGGCCATGGGGACCCAAACGTCAGAACCAGAACCACAGAAAACATGAAACAGGCTGAGCCAACAGAGCTGGACCTTCCTCAGCCCGGTTCTGGTTCTGGTTCTCTCATCCACACAGTAAAGTCATTTGTGCCCTGCTTCCTTAACCGGAGCCCGTTTTCCCTCTCAGTCACTTTTAATTCCAGGATTTCCCTGAACTTTCCATCCAGCCGGGTTAGCGAGTTACGGAGTCTGAATCCATTCATTCATTCAACATCTGAGGAATCAGCTCGGTCCTAAAGTTAAAGCACTTACCTTCCTGATCCAGTGGACCCTCTGTCTCCCCCCAGATGTCCACCCGTCTGTCCGTCCACCCGTCTGCCCGTCCAGCCCCCCCTCCTCTCCTCAGCACAGCACTCTCCTTGTTCTGCCTCCTCCCTCCACCAGCTCACACTAAATCTTTATTCCAGCTCGCTCGCTTAATTCAGGAGCTCCCTCATCCCAAAATACAGCTGCCCTCCCCCTCCTCCTTGTGTCTCCCAGGACTGTCCCAGGGCATGAAGCCCCCTCCAGAGGATGTTCAGCAAGCAGCTGATGCTGCTGCAGGTTTGGGGCTGCAGTTAGTCCAGTCTCTGCCTCCGGGGTTCTCCATCCTGCTGCCTGATCTCAGCCACCATCCATGGAGGGACTCAGACCCCCTCCCCCAGGCCTAGTTCTGTCCTTGTCCCCCGCTCCAGACCTGATTCTGTCCTTGTCCCCCAGGTTTCCACAGCTCCTTTGCCCTCAGAGCTCTGCTGCAGAATCAGATGTCTGCATCCTCAGTTTGCAGCAGCAGAACCTGAATCCTCCTCTCCTCCTGTGTCACTCCGTCCCATCTGAGTCTCGACTCCTCCACACCTCCTCCAGTGCCCCTCCTCCTTCATGACTCCCAACCTGCTCAGTCGCGCTGCAGTGCAGCCAGCAGCCTCCGTCAAGCTGGGGGGCTGTTTGACTGGAGCCCCTCTCCTCTCCTCCTCCCGGCTGACTCAAAGCATCCTTTATGAGCTTATTTATCTTACCCCCCCCCCCCCCACCTCTCTTCTCTCCTCCACACACTCACCCCTTCCTCCCTCCTCCTCCCCCTTCTGTGCTGCTGACTTAGACAAGCTGCAGAACGACTGAGGGTCAATCACACCAAAGAGTCTCAGTTACGTCTCATTCAGGGTGAAAGCGTGCAGATCACTGTAACACACACACACACACACACACACACACACACACACACACACACACACACACACACACACACACACACCTCTTCTGTGTTTCATTAAGGCAAAATGATTTTAATGCAACATAATCAGATTATTCACCAACAAATATTTTATTAAACTAGTTATATGTTAGTAACAGGAAGTGAGCGATGCTCCACTAGAACCTCAAAGGGTTAACTAGTTAAAAAAAGATTTTCCTACAAATCAGAAATAAAAACAAATATTGTGGAAAAAAAAACTTATATATTTTCATCAAGATGGTAAGAAAATCAATGTATAATAATATTATTATTATTACAATTTTGGGCAAAAGCAGACTTTTGGATGTTTCTGGTTCCTTTAACATTTTCATTTTAACACCAAGAAACAAATCAGCAATAAAAAATGTATTTATAGATATTTTGTGATTTAAATTATTATGAAATGTAATAATTTTTATTCAAATATCACATTTGTCAGAATTTCTTCAGTAGTTTTTGTCCGGCTGAGTTCAGAGCGCGGTTCTAAGAGAAACGGGAGATAAAATGTGCTCCAAAAGGGCCAAACGCCTGATTTTGGGTTCGGGTTCCACCATTTTTCTCTCAACCTTTAAAACCAGCAGCAGCACGTGTGTGGATTTGAGTCATCATCAGTCCATTTCTATAGATTTGTCCACAGAGCGATAAATCACACAAAAGAAGGAACGTCGCATCTCCAGCCTCGTTTGCATAAAGCAGCTCCGATCGTTTCACCGGAAGCTTCTCCTGATCCGGGATCATCGCAGCGGCTCGAATCAAACCAGACTGAAAACAAAACGCCGTGAAGATGAGATGCTGACTCGGCGTGAAACAGCTGGAACGAACTTTATTCTAGGAATCTTCCGGTTTAATCAGCTGCTGTCGTGTTTCTGACACTCGTCACATGACCCTTAACAGCAGATGGACCTTTGTCGTCATTTCCAGTCATAAACACTCAGATGTTTATTCAGAGCCTTTATTAAAGTTTCGTATGGAGCTGTGTGAATGTCAACGCCTGAATTCTGCAGATCTCATCCAGAACCTCTAGAGTCCAAAAGACGACAGAAGTTACATTTCTACGGCAGGACGACGATCTTCTTCTCCAGCTTCTCCTGTGGGAAGATGAACCTTCTCATCACCTCGTCCAGCTCCTCCAGAGCCAGCTGAGCGTGAAGCACTGTGACCTCGTCTGGGTCTGAGCGGACCACCCCCTTCAGGGCCCGGTACAGGTCCAACAGAACATCACCGAGAACCTGGAGGAGACACGACGTTTCAGTTAAAACACACACCTGTTAGGCGTGGAAGCACTTCCTGTTCCCGCTTCCTCTCTGAGAGGAAGAGAGCCGGTTAATTCAGTTCAGTTTGTTTGTAAAGAACCAAATCCTCTCACGACTCTTCACTCGGGAACCATTCCAGTTCAGCTCCGTTCATTAAGCCGGTCAGTCAAGCGTTTCTTATTTAAGGAACCCAGCCGATCGCATTCCATGTGCTTTATTTACAAACATTACTAAATAAAAGTTACTTTTCAACAACAACAAAAGACATAAAGCAGCAAAAAAACACGTTAAAAGTCTTCTGATTGTGTTTTTTACTTTTTATAGAAGCAGATTTTGATGTTTGTAAATAAAAACGAATTAATGTGTTTTTACTATTTTATGAATCTAGGAAACAGCTTGTGAAGAATTTGGTGTTTTTTAGCCGACTCATCGACTGAGTCCTCGTCTCCTCGCCGTCCCCCTTGTCTTTTGTCCCACAGGCTCTGTCCTGCAGATCTCTGTCATTAGCTCCCACGGCTGCTTGTGGACCTCCAGCTGTTCTTTTAACCCTTTGATGCATAATGGTCACTACAGTGGACAGGTATTCAAAATTGTTATTTATTTATTTTTGCTATTAAGCACAGCTGTTAAAGACTTTATTGCACTTGAGCCCCTCCATCTGGACTTCAGTAAGTCAAGCCAGCATATTTCATGTTCAGAATGCACACTGTCCACTGGGGTGGACATGTAATAAATTATTTGTAAATTAACAGAACATTACAAAAGATATTTGTTGAAATTTGTTTCATTTGCACCTAAAAATGAATGAAAAAAATTGTTTAAAAAATCATGGTTGAAGATTTCATAATTCATGCATCAAAGGGTTAATGATAGGAGCCAGACTGGAACCACCTTGGAAGGTAAGCCCGATTTATGCTTCTCCGTCTGCGTCAGTGCGGAGACACGCAACGCCATTATCCGTCCTTGTGTAGGGCTCCGGCAGGCACGCAAGTACGTACGGAGTCGAGCCCACTTTTTTAAACATCCGTCGAACGAGACGGATTACGCAAGCTTGTGATTGGTCAGGACGCCGCTGTTGTTTACAGCGCCGCCATTGCAAAGAGAGCCGAGGATAACTAGTGGCAGACACGGAGAAGCTTGAAGAATACCTCGCGAAAAAACTCTAAAAATATGAACGTTTCATCCTCCCGTGACTGGAGGAGTGAAAAGATGCGCAGCAAGCGTTTTATTTGTGGACGGAAATGACAGGAAACGTGGGTTTAGAGGTGGGGAGCGCATGAAGTGGTGGGAGAATGAGAGACAAATATGTCTGTGTTAAAAGTCTCTTATATACACAAAAAACACAATATAAACACACGATCTTGGACCGATACATGACAGGATACCACAGAACAGCGCTACGCCCTCTGTTGTCCTGCTGGGGAATTGCTTTGCAACACTCCCCAGGAGAAGGAGAAGTATGAGAGCAAAACGCTTCCGTCAGTCCGTGCGTGTCTGTCCCTTGCGGAGCTGACGGAGAAGCATGAACCAGGCTTTAGTTTCTGTTTGAAACTAAATTAGGTTTTTAACGAAAACTGTTTAAATCTTAAAGATACTTTTGTTCTTTACATGAGTTCACCATGAGCTCTGAACTGATGTTAAACTTAGTCTGAGGATGAAAAAGTTCAATTTGCATAAATCCATGTGTTGATACTGAACTTTAAATCTTGTAGTTCTAATCTGATAATCCTAAAGTTCTTGTCTTTCTGCAGTCTCCTGCCTCAGGATTTCGAGGCATCACCTGAGACGTTCTCACAGAAACTGTGCTGCGATTGGCTGAGATGCTGCAGTCCAACGTCAAACCCAAACCAACCCGATCAGAGACGTCCTCAGATAAGGAGAGAAACCCGAAACTCCTCACCGCGAGAAAATAATGTTTAGGCTTTAATCTCTGATGAGCAGATTACAGGTCCGGGCGACCCGTCACTCTCTCACACACACTGGCTGACCCGACCTGAGAGAGACCACCTGCAGCAAGTCCAGGTGGGAAATTACAAGCTAAAGAGTTTAAAGAAACACTCGTGAAGTGGTGATTAAAGAATCTGATGAACAGAACAAGCCGGGACTGGTTCTGTTTCCCCTGCAGATCAGAACCCGAAGGCTCAGTAAATAAATCTGGTTGTTTCTAGACTAAAACAGCATTTTTATAATGTTTCATAGCTGGAGCAGCACAGCATTCATGTTTGTTTCTGTTATTTTCAGCGTTAGAAAGAGAAACAAGCAGAGTTACAAAGATAAACAAGCAGAGTTACAAAGATAAACAAGCAGAGTTACAAAGATAAACAAGCAGAGTTACAAAGATAAACAAGCAGCGTTAGAAAGAGAAACAAGCAGAGTTAGAAAGATAAACAAGCAGAGTTAGAAAGATAAACAAGCAGAGTTAGAAAGATAAACAAGCAGAGTTAGAAAGATAAACAAGCAGAGTTAGAAAGATAAACAAGCAGAGTTAGAAAGATAAACAAGCAGAGTTAGAAAGATAAACAAGCAGAGTTAGAAAGATAAACAAGCAGAGTTACAAAGATAAACAAGCAGAGTTACAAAGATAAACAAGCAGAGTTACAAAGATAAACAAGCAGAGTTACAAAGATAAACAAGCAGAGTTAGAAAGATAAACAAGCAGAGTTAGAAAGATAAACAAGCAGAGTTAGAAAGATAAACAAGCAGAGTTAGAAAGATAAACAAGCAGAGTTAGAAAGATAAACAAGCAGATTTAGAAAGATAAACAAGCAGAGTTAGAAAGATAAACAAGCAGCATTAGAAAGATAAACAAGCAGCATTAGAAAGATAAACAAGCAGCGTTAGAAAGATAAACAAGCAGAGTTAGAAAGATAAACAAGCAGAGTTAGAAAGATAAACAAGCAGATTTAGAAAGATAAACAAGCAGAGTTAGAAAGATAAACAAGCAGAGTTAGAAAGATAAACAAGCAGCATTAGAAAGATAAACAAGCAGAGTTACAAAGATAAACAAGCAGAGTTACAAAGAAAAACAAGCAGAGTTAGAAAGATAAACAAGCAGAGTTAGAAAGATAAACAAGCAGAGTTAGAAAGATAAACAAGCAGCATTAGAAAGATAAACAAGCAGAGTTACAAAGATAAACAAGCAGAGTTAGAAAGATAAACAAGCAGAGTTAGAAAGATAAACAAGCAGAGTTAGAAAGATAAACAAACAGAGTTAGAAAGATAAACAAGCAGAATTAGAAAGATAAACAAGCAGAGTTAGAAAGATAAACAAGCAGAGTTAGAAAGATAAACAAGCAGAGTTAGAAAGATAAACAAGCAGAGTTAGAAAGATAAACAAGCAGAGTTAGAAAGATAAACAAGCAGAGTTAGAAAGATAAACAAGCAGCATTAGAAAGATAAACAAGCAGAGTTAGAAAGATAAACAAGCAGAGTTAGAAAGATAAACAAGCAGAGTTACAAAGATAAACAAGCAGAGTTAGAAAGATAAACAAGCAGAGTTAGAAAGATAAACAAGCAGAGTTAGAAAGATAAACAAGCAGAGTTAGAAAGATAAACAAGCAGAGTTAGAAAGATAAACAAGCAGAGTTAGAAAGATAAACAAGCAGAGCTAGAAAGATAAACAAGCAGAGTTAGAAAGATAAACAAGCAGAGTTAGAAAGATAAACAAGCAGCATTAGAAAGATAAACAAGCAGAGTTACAAAGATAAACAAGCAGAGTTAGAAAGATAAACAAGCAGAGTTAGAAAGATAAACAAGCAGAGTTAGAAAGATAAACAAACAGAGTTAGAAAGATAAACAAGCAGCATTAGAAAGATAAACAAGCAGAGTTAGAAAGATAAACAAGCAGAGTTAGAAAGATAAACAAGCAGAGTTAGAAAGATAAACAAGCAGAGTTAGAAAGATAAACAAGCAGAGTTAGAAAGATAAACAAGCAGAGTTACAAAGATAAACAAGCAGAGTTACAAAGATAAACAAGCAGAGTTACAAAGGTAAACAAGCAGAGTTAGAAAGATAAACAAGCAGAGTTAGACAAAAATAAAACTAATGACTCTAAAAAGAAAGTTCAGCATTGATGGAAAAACTGGTGGAAAAACAAATTTTATGATAAACGTAAACAGATCTGCGTTTGAGTTGATATTTTGTCAACAAGCAACACCTTCAGCAGGCGGGGCACGTACCTGAGTGGTTTTGTCGCTGAGACCCCGAAGCAGCAGAGCGATGACGTGGACCGCAGCTCTCCTCACCTCAGCCTCCTTTTCCGTCTTCATCAGAGCCGTCAGACAGCAGCTCAGCTGCACAACAACACACACAGCACACGCACGAACATGAACAAATACACAACAACACACACACAGCACACGCACGAACATGAACAAATACACAACAACACACACACAGCACACGCACGAACATGAATAAATACACAACAACACACACACACAGCACACGCACGAACATGAACAAATACACAACAACAACACACAGCACACGCACGAACATGAACAAATACACAACAACAACACACACAGCACACGCACGAACATGAACAAATACACAACAACACACACACAGCACACGCACGAACATGAACAAATACACAACAACACACACACAGCACACGCACGAACATGAATAAATACACAACAACAACACACACAGCACACGCACGAACATGAACAAATACACAACAACACACACACAGCACACGCACGAACATGAACAAATACACAACAACACACACACACAGCACACGCACGAACATGAACAAATACACAACAACAACACACACAGCACACGCACGAACATGAACAAATACACAACAACACACACACAGCACACGCACGAACATGAACAAATACACAACAACACACACACACAGCACACGCACGAACATGAACAAATACACAACAACAACACACACAGCACATGCACGAACATGAACAAATACACAACAACACACACACACAGCACACGCACGAACATGAACAAATACACAACAACACACACACAGCACACGCACGAACATGAACAAATACACAACAACACACACACACAGCACACGCACGAACATGAACAAATACACAACAACAACACACACAGCACACGCACGAACATGAACAAATACACAACAACAACACACACAGCACACGCACGAACATGAACAAATACACAACAACACACACACAGCACACGCACGAACATGAACAAATACACAACAACACACACACACAGCACACGCACGAACATGAACAAATACACAACAACACACACACAGCACACGCACGAACATGAACAAATACACAACAACACACACACACAGCACACGCACGAACATGAACAAATACACAACAACACACACACAGCACACGCACGAACATGAACAAATACACAACAACACACACACAGCACACGCACGAACATGAACAAATACACAACAACAACACACACAGCACACGCACGAACATAAACAAATACACAACAACACACACACAGCACACGCACGAACATGAACAAAAAATACACAACAACACACACAGCACATGCACGAACATGAACAAATACACAACAACAACACACACAGCACACGCACGAACATGAACAAATACACAACAACACACACACAGCACACGCACAAACATGAACAAATACACAACAACAACACACACAGCACACGCACGAACATGAACAAATACACAACAACACACACAGCACACGCACGGACATGAACAAATACACAACAACACACACACAGCACACGCACGAACATGAACAAATACACAACAACAACACACACAGCACACGCACGAACATAAACAAATACACAACAACACACACACAGCACACGCACGAACATGAACAAATACACAACAACACACACAGCACATGCACGAACATGAACAAATACACAACAACAACACACACAGCACACGCACGAACATGAACAAATACACAACAACACACACACAGCACACGCACGAACATGAACAAATACACAACAACAACACACACAGCACACGCACGAACATGAACAAATACACAACAACACACACAGCACACGCACGAACATGAACAAATACACAACAACAACACACACAGCACACGCACGAACATGAACAAATACACAACAACGACACACACAGCACACGCACGAACATGAACAAATACACAACAACACACACACAGCACACGCACGAACATGAACAAATACACAACAACAACACACACAGCACACGCACGAACATGAACAAATACACAACAACACACACACAGCACACGCACGAACATGAACAAATACACAACACACACACAGCACACGCATGAACATGAACAAATACACAACAACAACACACACAGCACATGCACGAACATGAACAAATACACAACAACACACACAGCACACGCACGAACATGAACAAATACACAACAACAACACACACAGCACACGCACGAACATGAACAAATACACAACAACAACACACACAGCACACGCACGAACATGAACAAATACACAACAACACACACACAGCACACGCACGAACATGAACAAATACACAACAACAACACACACAGCACACGCACGAACATGAACAAATACACAACAACAACACACATAGCACACGCACGAACATGAACAAATACACAACAACAACACACACAGCACACGCACGAACATGAACAAATACACAACAACAACACACACAGCACACGCACGAACATGAACAAATACACAACAACACACACACAGCACACGCACGAACATGAACAAATACACAACAACAACACACACAGCACACGCACGAACATGAACAAATACACAACAACACACACACAGCACACGCACAAACATGAACAAATACACAACAACACACACACAGCACACGCACGAACATGAACAAATACACAACAACAACACACACAGCACACGCACGAACATGAACAAATACACAACAACAACACACACAGCACACGCACGAACATGAACAAATACACAACAACACACACACAGCACACGCACAAACATGAACAAATACACAACAACAACACACACAGCACACGCACAAACATGAACAAATACACACACACAGCACACGCACGAACATGAACAAATACACAACAACAACACACACAGCACACGCACGAACATGAACAAATACACAACAACACACACACAGCACACGCACAAACATGAACAAATACACAACAACACACACACAGCACACGCACGAACATGAACAAATACACAACAACAACACACACAGCACACGCACGAACATGAACAAATACACAACAACAACACACACAGCACACGCACGAACATGAACAAATACACAACAACACACACACAGCACACGCACAAACATGAACAAATACACAACAACAACACACACAGCACACGCACAAACATGAACAAATACACACACACAGCACACGCACGAACATGAAAAAATACACAAAGCACGCAAACACATAAAAGAACACAGAAAACAAACACAAAGTCATACAAGAACACACACAAATACACAAAAACACACAGCAGTGTCATTCAACAGGTTCACGTTCTACAACTACAAAAACACAAGTTGAACTAAAAATGGCGCGCCCCAGGGTTCTCTCTTGGGACCCACTTTGCTCCAGAGCTAGATGCTGCAGACCACTGCACTCAGACTAGCGGTTTGCTCATTTTAAATATATTTGTAATCATTTTCTAAATTCTTTTCTATATTTTAAATGTTTTGTTTTTGTGAAGCGCCTCGTGATTTTTATCTTGAGAGGCTTTAGAAGAGATCTTTTCTTCTCCTTCAGTCCTGAAGGATCTACCTTTTCCTAATAAGAGGTGGCTCAGGGTCCGTTTCCGGGTCAGACTGGAATGACGACGTTTACACACAAAAACACGCTTCACGATGTCTGAAATGTGGCTTTGACATCACAGAGGAAGGTATGACATCACACCACAACCTGCAGGCTGATGTGCTTTTAGTTTAGATGTTTTATTTAAAAGAGGACCTGAGACGGGGCTTCCAGCTCTACTGCAAAAATTCTGTCTTGTTTTATGATTTTTGTTTCAAAACTGAGAAAATTCACCCAGCTGTGTGTGTGTGTGTTTTATTATTTGTGTTTATTTCTACTTGTTTAGATAAAAGATGAAACCCATAAAAACCTTTCCTGTGCCGTGTGTCGACACCAGAATCAGAGTAAAGAGTCAGGGGAAACTTGTTTTGAAGATGAATGAATCAAGCCTTCTCCGGGTCAGGGATGAGGTCCTGCCCCAAGTGGAGGAGTTCAAGTATCTCGGGGTCTTGTTCATGAGTGAGGGAAAGATGGAGCGTGAGATCGATAGGTGGATTGGTGCTGCATCTGCAGTGATGCGGGCGTTGTACCGGTCTGTCGTGGTGAAGAGAGAGCTGAGTCAGAAGGCGAAGCTCTCGATTTACCGGTCGGTCTACGTTCCTACCCTCACCTATGGTCATGAGCTTTGGGTAGTGACCGAAATAATGAGATCGCAGATACAAGCGGCCGAAATGAGTTTTCTCCGAAGAGTGGCCGGGCTCAGCCTTAGAGATAGGGTGAGAAGCTCGGTCATTCGGGAGGGGCTCGGAGTAGACCCGCTGCTCCTCCACATCGAGAGGAGCCAGTTGAGGTGGCTCGGGCATCTGGTCAGGATGCCTCCTGGATGCCTCCCTGGTGAAGTTTTCCGGGCACGTCCAACCGGGAGGAGACCTAACGGTAGACCCAGGACACGGTGGAGGAACTATGTCTCTCACCTGGCCAGGGAACGCCTTGGGATTCCCCCGGAGGAGCTGGCCCAAGTGGCTGGGGAGAGGGAAGTCTGGGCCTCTCGCCTTAGGCTACTGCCCCCGTGACCCGACTCCGGATAAGCGGATGAAAATGGAAATGAATCAACCTGTGGTTCATTTTAAACTTTCAGTGTAAAAACTTGGTCTGTGAGCTGCAGAGGGACCTCAGTCAGCTCAGTGACAGAACCACCGAACTGACCCGGCTCCTCTAACACACTCCTACAGTCCGACTGAGAGAAAATATGTGCAGGTTCATGAATAAGCGTCCTGTTGGTGCCGCTCACACAGCGCCTCATTCATGCCAGCGGGCTGCTCCAGAGCCGCAGACCGCTGCAGCAGCATCAGAGACACATGTGAGGCCGGCGGCGGCATCACAGTCACAGCGTTTGTGTTTCTGCAGCTTTTCATCCAATCAAACGGACTTCTGAGCCTCCATCAGGTGGTTTTAGGGGCTTTTTTGACGGAAGACCAAACATTTTAGCTCTCCTAAACATCCCTTCTCCGTAGTTTAAAGGCAGTCTGCTGAAGGCGAAAGTAAAATACAAAAACCTACTTGTTATGCGAGTGGTTCTGGTTCAGTGCATTCTGGTTTCTTCTTTTCTTTAGACTGATGTTATGTTTTATATTTTGTGTTTTAAAGCATTTTTTCACTCATTTTTTACAGCTTTAGTCCAGTTATTTCTGCAGGTTTCCTGTGAAAAATATCCTCAATAGGAACTAAATTTGTTTAAAACGAGTGACAGAGATGCAACCGGGCTTTATACCCAATAACAGCACACCTGGGTCCGATAAGGCTGGATGTTGGGCAGTTGTTGAGCTCTGCTGTAAGCAGGGTTCTGGCCCGTTCTTACCTCCTGAGCCAGCGGCCCCAGAGAAAAGTCGAGTCTCTGGCAGATTTCTCCCAGGTTGGACAGGCTGCTGGCTCGGACACTTTGGTCCACGTCCCTGGTTCCCTGCAGGAAGACGCCCACCAGAGGACGGCCGAGGTGGGGCGCCAGTTCTCCTGAAGGAAGAGGAGAGAGAGGAAGTTTGAGTCTGGTTGAGTATGAGGGACAGGACTCGGGTTCTGCAGAAGACCGAAGGTCTCCAGCTCCTCCTGGAGGAAGTCATTCCCAGGCCAAAGAGGAAATCTGATCCCTGCAGTAAGCTCTGGGTCAGTTAGCAGAAATCTCTAGAGGGGGGTGGCTATAGGAGGATCGTGACCGATCGTTGAGGAGGAGCAGACAACGGATCTCCTAGAGGAGGCTCTGACTCTCGTCCTGATGATGAAATCCAGACAGGATTAGAACAGCTCCAGGGTGAGGCGGCAGATTAAAACTCTGTCTTCTCTCTCATTTTACCTTTTGAGCTCTTATTTACCTTTCTCAGTGGCCTAGTGGTAGAGTGTTCGTCCTGAGACTGGGAGATCAGGGGTTCGATTCCTGGTCGGGTCATACCAAAGACTTTGAAAAAATGGGACCCAATGCCTCCCTGCTTGACACTCAGCATTAAGGGGTTGGATTGGGGGGTTAAACCACCAAATAGTTCCCGAGCGCGGCTGTGTCTGCAGCTCACCGCTCCCCCAGGGGATGGGTCAAATGCGGAGAACAAATTTCGCGCACACACCTGTGTGTGTGACAACTAATGGGACTTTAACTTTATTTGTGAAAAACGAGCTCAAAAATAAAATAATCCATCGTATTCTTCTGAACAGCTGACCCAAATCCAGACAAAGCTGCAGAAGGTGCGACTCCTGCCAGAAGTCATGAATAAACAACTTGAACTAATTACGCTGTGGTTTTTATTTTTACATTTATAACTTGGATCATCTCAGTGTCTCCTGAGGAGACCAGCTGGAGCAGAGCAGTGACCTGAACTGGGTTGGAACCTGATGCTGGTGCCCTCATGCCAGCTGTGTCTGGGTGATGACATCATCAGCTGATGCACACAGAACCTCATGAACGAGCAGAACCCAAACCGAGCCAGACGAGCGAGTTGAGAAAACCTCCTTATTGAAAAAGCGCAGCTTGGCCGAGGAGGAATCTCGGGAGGTTTGAGTCAAACACAGAAGCTTTCTGCATCCCAGCAGGGAAATAAAGCCCCGATTGTCCCGTAGAAGTGAAAGCACGACTTTCTGGTGCACTAAAACTGCGCCGGGTGAGAAAAAAGAACAGAAAATATTGAAATGGGGGTGTGATAATCAGCATAACAAGTCCGAGCGGAGGTTCACTTTGCTGATAGTCACGAACATGGATGCCCAGATTAAAATCCTGATTTCTGAAGGGTTCTCTTCGTTTTTGTTGTAGTCGTGGGGGTTTGTGTACTTGCTGGGGTTAGCTAACCTTCTGCTGTCCTGCTCACCACACACCTGTGGTCCACCTGCTAACATTAAGGATGTAAACCTGACGGAAGGTGGTGGATTTTGGGTGCTGACAGGACTTTTCAGTCTTGGAGCTCACCCATCGCCCTGCTCGCCCGCATCAGGACCTCCCCCACCTTCAGGCGGCTCTCCAGCGAGCGCTCCCTCTTGGACGAAGGGAGGGAGGGTCCATGTTGGAAGTCTTTCAGGAGCCTCTCCAGGATCCGGTCGGGGTAGGAATCAGCCAGAACAGCCAGACCTGAAGACAGTTTACAGATCAGCTGCCAGTGCTGTTGGAGCCACAGGCAGCCAAACTGAGAGGTTACCTTGGATCGCCGACAGGTAGACGAACGAGTCCTCGTGCTCCAGGTTCTCCATGAAGAGCTGCAGAGGAGACATCTTCAGACTGATGAATCTGGCCGGTAGACTCGACAGAAGGTAAAAACAGATATGAAAGGGAATAAATCAAGCAGAGATTATTGATCTGAGGTGAGGAGGTGCCGCGGCTCAAATTCGGCACCAAACGGGCCTCAGGACTCTAAACCCGACACATCCGAGGAAATCAATAGCAGGCCTTTCGGATGCGTCAGCGGGGGTTTCTGATTAAAGAGCATCATTAATGAAAAGGTCTTTCCCTCGCCAGTCCACCTTAACAAGACCCCGCGAGAGCGTCGTGTCCTCGCTGCAGACGGCCTCATTTCTTATAGATGTCCCAGGAGACCAGAACCACTAAGGGCCTCCCGTAGGAACTGGTCCTGCTGAAGGCCATGACCCCACTCCCAGCAAGGTAGTGATAACACTACTACTACTACTATACTACTACTATACTAAATACTACTACTACTGATACTACTACTATTAATTCTACTATTGATACTACTACTACTACAACAACTACTACTACTATACTAAATACTACTACTACTGATACTACTACTATTAATTCTACTATTGATACTACTACTACTACTACTACTACTGATACTACTACTATTAATTCTACTATTGATACTACTACTACTACAACAACTACTACTACTATACTAAATACTACTACTACTGATACTACTACTATTAATTCTACTATTGATACTACTACTACTACTACTACTGATACTACTACTATTAATTCTACTATTGATACTACTACTACTACTACTACAACAACTACTACTACTATACTAAATACTACTACTACAACTACTACACTAAATACTACTACTACTACTACTGATACTACTACTATTAATTCTACTATTGATACTATTACTACTACTACTACAACTACTACTATACTAAATACTACTACTACTGATACTACTACTACTACTACTACTACTACTGATACTACTACTACACTAAATACTACTACTACTGATACTACTACTACTACTACAACAACTACTACTACACTAAATACTACTACTACTGATACTACTACTACTACTACAACAACTACTACTACACTAAATACTACTACTACACTAAATACTACTACTGATACTACTACTACTGATACTACTACTACTACTACAACAACTACTACTACACTAAATACTACTACTACTGATACTACTACTACTACTACAACAACTACTACTACACTAAATACTACTACTACACTAAATACTACTACTGATACTACTACTACTGATACTACTACTGTGCTCGGCTTCTGACCAAGTCCTCCAAACACACCCACATCACCCCGCTTCTCCTCCAGCTTCACTGGCTGCCAGTCAACTTCAGGGTTCATTTCAAGATCCTGGTTCTGGTCTATAGGGCCTTACATGGACAAGCACCATCTTACATTGGTGATCTTCTTAGTCCCTACACCCCCAGCAGGTCCCTGAGGTCCAGTGATCAAAGCCTACTGGTTGTGCAGCACCAGGCTAAAGACCAAAAGTGACAGATCATCTGCTGCTGTGGCCCCCAGACTCTGGAACTCTCTCCCCCTGAGCCTGAGATCAGTGGACTCAGTGGTCTCCTTTAAAAAGCAGCTGAAGACTCACCTGTTCAAGCTGGCTTTTGTATGACCTTCTTCACCTCTCTCTCTTTATTCTGCTCTCCCCACCTATTCCACCTTCCTCAGGATCCACTGATTTCCCTCTTTCCTATTCACTCTCTCTCTTTATTAACATTTTTTTTATCAATTGCCTATTTTTTGCTAACTTTAACTGATACTACTGATACTACTGTAACCATTTTCTAAATGTTTTTTTTTATATATTTACATTTTTTGTTTTTGTGAAGCGCCTCGTGATTTTTATCTTGGGAGGCGCTATAGAAATGATATTTTCTTCTTTCTTCTTCTACTACTAATACTACTACTGATACTACTACTACTAATACTAGCACTACTGATTCCACTACTATTACTACTACTACTACCACTACTACTGATACTACTACTACTAATACTAGCACTACTGATTCCACTACTATTACTACTACTACTACCACTACTACTGATACTACTACTAAAACTACTACTACTACTACTCAAACACAGAGGGAATTCAATTTGCTTTACAATTACTACTACTACTACTACTACTGATACTACTACTACCACTACTACTGATACTACTACTAAAACTACTACTATAACTCAAACACAGAGGCAATTCAATTTGCTTTACAATTACTACTACTACTACTGCTGATACTACTGATACTACTACTACCATTACTACTGATACTACTACAACTACTACTACTACTCAAACACAGAGGCAATTCAATTTGCTTTACAATTACTACTACTACTACTACTACTACTACTGATACTACTACTACCACTACTACTGATACTACTACTAAAACTACTACTACTACTCAAACACAGAGGCAATTCAATTTGCTTTACAATTACTACTACAACTACTACTACTACTCAAACACAGAGGCAATTCAATTTGCTTTACAATTACTACTACTACTACCACTACTGATACTACTACTACCACTACTACTAAAACTACTACTAAAACTACTACTACTACTCAAACACAGAGGCAATTCAATTTGCTTTACTACTACTACTACTACTACTACTACTACTACTACTACTACTACTACTACTAACATTAATAATTAGGGTTCTGCCTGTTAAACATCTCCATTAGTTAAAGTAAGTCTGACATTCAGACACATTAGAGTCTAATTCTTAAATTCATTCAGTAGGTTCTGGTTCTGGTTCTGCCCCTACGGCTCCTCTCGGAGCCCTGAAGTAGCTGCTTTACTTTCTGTCTCTGATGGAAGCAGCAGACCAGATCCCAGCAGGAGACTGAAGGGAGTGGAGTCAAAGAGCTTCAGGAGAAGCTGGAGCAGCTCTCACACCGAGGATCACAACCAGCTTCTACACACCTACCCCTCAGTGGGTCTCCACACTCATCCAGCATCAACATCTGTCCTCTCAGACTCTAAGGATGGGACAGCAGCCACGTTAGAGCTCAGAGGCAAACTACAGGACATCCTGAGGGACAGTTGGACAAACGACTCACTGAAGACCACCGAGGTGGACAGTTTACTGTCAGAACCAGAACCACCAGAGAATGATTCGTAAGACACTCATGTGAAGTCACACTGATCCAAACACAGCTGGAACTATCAGAGGAAAACAGAAAGGGGACATTTATGGATGAAGATCAGGAAGTAAAGTCTATTTCTCTGAACATAGGCTGTTCAGGACACAGAAACCTTTCCATTAAGATGACGCTTCACTCTGGATCACGACTGATGTCAGTGAAGAATAAAAGCCACAAACCGTGAGGACTTTCTCCTGAGCCTGGATGAGCTTTGGGTCTCTGCGTTGGACCATCTGGGTCAGAATCCTCAGAGCAAATGCTTTAGTAGGGACATCTGGGTCACACGCCTCTAACAGCCAATCAGAAAGGGGCTTGTTGTCAGGTGGGTAAGGAACATCGGCGCTGGATCTTCCTACTGTTCCTGTGGGACTGGGTTTCTGAGAGGAAGCTGGGAGGAACCTGGAGCTGCTGACGGGAATCTCAGGGGTGTCTGTTTCACTCTCCACCTCCTTCTTCTTCTTTGGTTTCGTTTCAGCGTTTCTGGAGAACCGACCAGCAGCAGCGGTGAGGTTCTCAGGTCGGTAGGCACCATGAGTGGCAATAACAGCTCTGAGGTTTGATGCCATCTCCTGGATGAGTGCGTCGGGATGCCGCAGAGACACCGTCTCCAGAGGTGGGAGCAGCCTCGACATGCAGGAGTACTCCTCAGCCCCGAGCTGTGAATTCAAACCAAATGTCTCGTGATTTTTAGGAGTTTTCATTTAAATTTGGAGCCACGCAAGAAGAAATGTTTTTATCATTTTAGTCACCTGAGGTGCCGACAGCAGCGTCGCCACCAGGCCCATCCCCATGCTCAGCGTCTGGCTCTCTATCGGGTTCCACCCAGAGGACATATCTGGGCCCACACAGGCTCTCTGGAGCAGAGACACCATGAAGTCCACCACCTGCAGAGAAGGACAAACAGATCTAATCATTGTGTCAGAACCTGCTGAGGCCTTTAGGGTCAGAGATGGAGAACTAATGCTGGTTCCTGGCATTCCCACTCGTGGGCTATTCAACAGTTTTCAACCCATCTCTCTGTCCTGTCTGGAAAAAACTATTGTTACTATGAAACCCTCGGGCTCTCCAGATGATGTGGTTCCACCCCGTCTCCTGGAAGATGTGCTTCCGTTGATTGGCCAAAATGTGCTGGACATTATTAATGGTAGCTTGACCTTGGCTGAAGGTCCTCGTGCCTTTAAACACGCTGTTGTGCAGCCATTCTTGAAAAAACCTGGTCTTGATCCCACTAATTTCTCTAATCTCCGACCATTTTCCAAGTTACCATATTTACCTGAGGTACTTGAGAAAGTCGTGCATGAACAGTTAGTACTACATCTTAATGACCATCAAGTAATGGACATTTTTCAGTCTGGGTTTAGACAACAGCACAGCACTGAAACTGCTCATGTTCGTGTGTTTAATGACATCTTTCTGGCCTTAGATTCAGGGTTCCATGTGGTTCTGGTACTTCAGGATCTATCTGCAGCCTTTGACACGATCGATCGTAACATCTTGATCTCTAGACTACACGCTTGGGCTGGCATCTCAGGTTCGGCCCTAGACTTGTTTAGGTCTTACTTTTCTAACAGGTCCCTCAGGGTCATGCTGGATGACTATTCATCCCAGTCACTCTCCCTTCCCTGGGGTGTTCCTCAAGGTTCCATCCTCGGCCCGGTACTGTTCTGGCTCTATATTCTGCCCTTGGGAACCATTTTCAGACAGCATGCCGTTTCACACCATCTATACGCAGACGACTGTCAAATTAATTTTTCATTTAAACCCACTGACTCCATTAAACCTCTGTTTGATTGTCTTCACGATGTCAAGCAATGGCTGGCTGGTAACTTCCTCCATCTGAATGACTCTAAAACAGAGGTAATCGTTTTTAGTCCCGACAATGTTAGAGCAACCCAGCAACAAGACCTCCACTATCTGCCTCCTAATGTCACTTCTGCTATTTCCAACCTTGGAATAAAAATAGACCCGGTTCTGAAGATGGACGCTCAGCTCAATAGCACAGTCAGGTCCTGCTTTTACCACCTCAGGCGTATTTCTAAACTAAAGCCCATCCTGAGTTTCCTTCTTCTACAATCTGTGATTCACGCCTTCATCACTTCTCGGCGTGATTATTCCAACTCCTGCTTGTACGGCATCAGTAAAGCTGCTCTGTCTAGACTCCAGCTTGTCCAGAATTCAGCAGCAAGGTTCCTGACTGAAGACAGCACATTACGCCCACTCTTAAATCACTCCACTGGTTGCCTGTTCAGTTCAGGATCAATTTCAAAATTCTGCTTCTTGCATTCAAATCTTTGAACAGTCAGGCACCTCCCCATCTGTGTGAACTCCTCCATTACTACCACCCTCCTCGTGCTCTTAGGTCTGAAGATCAGCTCCTCCTAACTGTCACTAAGGCACATTTGAAGACCCGCGGGGAAAGGGCTTTTTCTGTCTGTGCCCCAAAATTGTGGAACTCATTACCTCTTCAGGTTAGGCAAGCACCCTCTATTGCCGTTTTAAAATCACGCCTGAAAACCCACGACATCTCCCTGGCCTTCAACTCCCAAACCATAACGCATTAACTCATCCTTAGTTTTTCCACCTTGTTTGTTCGATTTTAAATTTGTTTTTATATTCTGGTTTTACTTGTTCTATTGGTTTTAATCTGTTGTTCTTTTAACTCTTTTATCTTTTTACTTCATATGATATACACGACTATTTTAGCTTGTGTTTTTATTATTTGTTTTTATGTGCAGCGCTTTGGTCGGTTGTAGTGCCGTGTTGAAAGCGCTCTACAAATCAAGCGGCATGGTATGGTTTCTTCTGACCTGTGAGGTTCTCCTCAGGAGCTGAGAGTGCTGCAGACACTCGACCATCACGGCCAGAACCTGAAGCAGAACCAATCTCTGTGCTTGTCTGTCAGCTCGACCCAGTAGCTGCTGCTCCACCTCCAGCAGCGTCATGGACGCCACGTCCACCTCCTCTTCATCCACCCTGTGTTCATCAGACGTCCAACTGGTCAGCTCCTGCAGGAGGATGAACAACAGCTGGGGTGTGACAGATGCTCCAGCACAGAAAAACCTGCTGAAATGATGCCAATCTCAGGTAAAAATGGAACAAATCATCAGCTAAAACCCATTTCCATTCCTTACTGTTAAATCTAAACGTGACTAAATCTTCCTTGTTAATGATGGGAGTTCCTCAGGGTTTGGTACTCGGCCCATCACATCTTCTGTTGGATCTCAGCTCTGCTTAGAGTTGATTTCAACACTTTGTCGTTTATTAACCGGCACATAAAAGAACAATTTGAGAAACTGGATGTCTAAATCAAAAGCCCCTGGAAGATGATCGATGTTGAGTTTCATTTGGCAGGTCAGCGGTTTGGGCTGGTTTGGGTTTTCCTGACCTATCCAACTAGTTATGCAGCTCTAGGTTCAGGCTTCTGGGAAACGTCCCAACATTCCCACAGGGCCTTTTACCTGCAGAAGCTCCAGGAAAAAGTCCCCAGGGAGGTCACTGTCCTTGAGTTCAGCGAGCAGCTGCATCAGACACTCCAGCCTCCACTGCTCCCCTGACAGCTTCTCATACAGCTCATCTTCCCCGTCACTGGGACAACAGCAAAGAGGTCAATGACGCAGACACGAAAACGTCCAATCAGAAGGTAGGATGAGCGATGAAGGTTCATCACCTGCAACTCTTTCTGCAGGTGAGTCGGACGCCTCCGTCGCTGCCAGCAGCGAAGTGGAAGTCTGCTGAGACGTTATTCTTTGGTTCCTGTAGACCTGAAAGCTGCCGCAGCGCTGAGAGAGCTGAAGACGTCTCCGAACGGCTCAGGTACCACAGCAAAACCTCCTGACAGGTTGCCCTGCAGAGCAGAGGAAGAATGGGTGCAAACAGCTGGAGTGTTACCGCCACGACTTAACATCGGGACTGCAGAAAAACATTTTATCATCATAAAATTGATCAGAAACACGGCACAAAAAGCAAATATAACGTAAGAGATGGAATAAAGTCTTACCGCAGGTGGGAGACGTTCTGCTTGGTGAAACAGAAAACTGTGAAGATGACAGGAAGAACTTCTTCAAGTGCGGCGAGAAGAACCTCTGATGGACTGTTTCCAACCACCCAGATCTGATGGCAACAACATGAAATCGAATATGAAGGAGTTTCTGAAGGCTTTAATTTGTGGTTTAAACAAAACCCCTTGGCTCAGAATCTTTTAAAAAGTTGACCTCAGATGACCTTAATGACGGTTTGTCCTCCTGACTAAGAAAGCGGCGAGGTACTGACCTTGTACACATCCTCCAAACATCGGGTCAGCGCCGACTCCTCCACGGCCTCCTGTGGATGCTCTGCAGCTGAAACACAAACACCAGAACATCAGGAGCTCAGAAGCTGTCCGCATCAATACTCACGTTTCCAGAGGTTTAAAATCTAACATTTCTGTGTGTTCATCTCCTGAAACAATGTTTTTATTCCATTAACACAATTTAAGACTCGTCTTTCCCTGAGAAAATAAAACTAACTTTATTTGACCCAGTATTTTTTGTTTCACCACAAACTACATGAAATGAGTCAGAAATTGAGCAAAATTAAAAACTAAAACAGCTTTTTATGACTTCTGGAGGGGCTAAAAACACATTCAGTGAATTAAACAGTCACTAAGTTGGGATGGCCAGCAGAACCAGATGTAGGCTGAATTAACATAAAGTCTCTAAATCTTTAAACGTAAGCATCTAGCTAATAAAATTAGCTCATGTTCAGCTGCTCCTGAATGTACCCAGGACTGGGCGTAAACTTATAGATCGCGCCTTTGCTGTAGCAGCTCCTAAACTGTGGAATGAGCTTCCTTTAGAGGTAAGACAGGCCAGTTCCTTACCTGTTTTTAAGTCACTCTTGAAAACACACCTCTTTACCCTTGCTTTTGACACCATGTAAGATGTCGGTTACTATTTTTTTTTTTTTTTTTAGTTTTGAATTATTTTAGCTGTTTTTGTGTGTTTCAATGCTGTTTTTATCTAGTTTTTATTCTTATTATTGGGCTGTTTGAATCTTATGTCTCCTGTGTTTTATTTATTTCTCTTTGCTGCTTTCTGTTTATTCTATTGTTTTAATGTATTTTCTGTACAGCACTTTGTTCCTGTGCTGGGTGTTTTAAAGTGTTTTATAGATAAATGAACTGAACTGAACTAACAGCGTCTGCCTGTGTTTAAGGAGACATGCTGATTTAGGCGTACTGTTACTAACTTGTCTCTGGAAGATAATGAGAAATTCCATGCTTTCGTTCTTTTTAAACACACAAACAGTTTTGTTTACCTGTTTCGTAGCTACAGTTTCGCCGACGGCTGCCGGCTTCTTCAGGCTGACGCCGATGGTGGCGCGTCACTTCCTTCTCCGTTTATCTGAAGAAGCCGGCAGCCGTCGGCGAAACTGTAGCTACAAATCAGGTAAACAAAACTGTTTCTGTGTTTAAAAAGAACGAAAGCATGGAATTAGAACCACGACACAGCAAGAACACTCCTAAGAAGATAATGAGAAAGTCGTACAATTAACAAACAAACAAACAAAATGTTTGTGATCCACATCGGCGATCTGTGGCTGACATTTGTCCCAAACACTAAACCGTTACTGACAGGAGGCGGTGATGCAGCTGTGCAGCGGGCCGAGCACGGGCTTGAGCAGGTGCTGCTGAGCCAAGCCGGGCCTCTCCAGAACCACGGACAGCGCTGCCCTAGTTGCCACTCGCTGGAACTGCTGAGCGGTCAGCTTGTCTCGGAGATGGAGGAGGTCGAGGATCTGAGAAAACAAAAAGTTGAACTGGTCCGCGTGAGCTTTATGGCTTTAGGACATTTTTAGTGTTAAAGAACATCCGAGTTGTTGTAACAGGTTTTTGAATCACACGATGATTACGACACCAAAACTATTGGCATAAATAAAGAGATGGTGATGACATTTAGAATATTCACAAGGTTTTTTTTTTTTATTGAATCTTTATAGCTGCCCACTGAGACCAGAGATGGAGGCAGAAGGCGATGCTGTTTGTTAACAGGACGTTATCACTTGTGTTTGAACAAAAGTGCATCATCTTCATGAAGGTCATTCTGGAAAAACATCCTCCGACAGCAGGTTCAGGTGGATTAGCCGCAGTTTACATGAAGAAATTCACTCTGGAAGCTGACTGGAGGTTTCAGAGCACCGGTGCAGGTTTGAAAACAATAAAGTGATGGTGTGAATCTCACCTGAGGACAGACAAGTCTGAAGTAATCGTCAGCCGAGGTGGATTGCTGGGGGCAGGCCACCAGGATCCTGGCCACAGCATCACATTTTCTCCAGTCTGAGTCGCCTCCTGCAGGAACAGCTCCGGTCTGAAGAACCAGTCTTTTTGATGAATATTGCCCCGTGGCGTACTACTCTACCTCCTCCTCTTCCTCACCTGTTCCTCCCTCCAGGACAGCTCTGATGACCGCCTGCACACCGTTTGGTTGCATCAGACGCTCAGACAGCATCTGACCACACAGACGTCTCAGCCAGGCTGGAGCTGATCCCAGACCCGCCCTGCCACTCGGACCACCAGAACTCCCAGCTGGAGCAGACTGGAAGGAAGGAGACGAGACATTATTTAAGCCAGAGGTGGAACATGAAAGTTGAATGTTCTGGAAACACGAGGTGAAGAAGAAACATGAAAAAGAAAAAACATAATTAGTTTATCTTAGAAGAAACAAAACCATATTTATCAGTTTTCAACAACAAATTAGATGTTTGAAGTTGAAACAGAATCTCAGGGCTCAACTAATCAAATGCTTTATGAGAACAGATAGAACCTGTGAAGCAGAACAAAGATTAAAATTGTAATTCAATTCAATTCAAAGATACTTTATTAATCCCAGAGGGAAATTGATTAAACTTGGCTGCTAAAAAGCCAAAAAGTGTCTGAAGAATGTAGAGAAATTAGAGCAGCTTCTGCTGCCCCCAAGTGGAACAAATAACTCACTGCAGCTACAGTTACCTGACTCAACTTGCTTCGTCCTACCTCAAGTGGAGGAGTTTAAGTATCTCGGGGTCTTGTTCACGAGTGAGGGTAGGAGGGATCGGGAGATCGACAGGCGGATTGGTTCGGCGTCTGCAGTGATGCGGACGCTGAGCCGATCTGTCGTGGTGAAGAGGGAGCTGAGCCAGAAAGCCAGGCTCTCCATTTACCGGTCGATCTACGTCCCAATCCTCACCTATGGTCATGAGCTTTGGGTAATGACCGAAAGAACGAGATCGTGGATACAAGCGGCCAAAATGAGTTTCCTCCGTAGGGTGGCCGGGCTCAGCCTTAGAGATAGGGTGAGGAGCTCGGACATTCGGGAGGGACTCGGAGTAGAACTGCTGCTCCTCCGGATCGAAAGGAGCCAGTTGAGGTGGTTTGGGCATCTGGTCAGGATGCCTCCCTGGGGAGGTGTTTCGGGCATGTCCTGCCGGCAGGAGGCCCCCGGGTCGACCCAGGACACGTTGGAGAGGTTACATCTCCAATCTGGTCCGGGGACGCCTTGGGGTCCTGCCGGAGGAGCTGGTGGAGGTGGCCGGGGAGAGGACGGTCTGGAGCTCCCTAGTTGGAATGCGGCCCCCGCGACCCAGACCCGGATAAGCGGAGGAAGACGACGACGACAACTTGCTACGGGAAGTAAAACACACCTAGTTCCCCTAAAATGTTCAGGTCAGATTCAGACAGACTAAAACCAACTATTTCATTTTTTTACATTGAAGATTAATCCAACAAACAACATTATTAATATTACTGCGTTGATGATATGAAACACTTGTCCAAAGAGCCGCACCTGTTTGGGTCCACCTTGGAGGATCAGCAACTCCTTAATGATGATTGGCTGATAGACTTTTCCCAGGAGGTCCTTGAGGGCCTTCTTACACAGCCGACACTCATCCGCACTGAGTAGCTGCATTACAAAAAATGCGGGGAACAAAAACAGGATTTTGTTTATTTTCTTGACTTTAAACAACATAACTCATGAAAGTGTTCTGATTACATTACAGAAAACAGATCAGGACTGTTCTCAGGTCTGAAAACAGACAGCTTTCTCTGCTTTACCTAGCCTAGTGAACTAGACCAAATTCTTGCTTTGCAAAGTTTGGTCTAGGCACGCTCCATTGGAACCTCCGCAGCTCCTACCAGGACTCTGGCTGGCCAATCACAGCTCTCTAGAGGGGTTTCAAACACATAAAGAGCTGTGATTGGACCATAATGGTGGGCCAATCATAGTGCTCTATCTGCTTAGTGAACAAATCACAGAGCTTTATCCGCTTTGTGGGCCAATCAGGGCACTCTATATGCCTGGTGGGTAGGATGATGCAACAGAGTGAAACAAGAGTACGTCACATTCATTGTCCAGTAGCATGCGGAGATCATTTGAAAGGCAACGGTAGAACCCGCCCCACAACCGAGAGCCGTCAATGGAGCGTTGCCAGACTAAATAATACATTTATTTAGTCTGGCTTGCCAGGCTATGCTTTACCACCTTTAAAGTGACTTTATTAGTATTTAATCACCCTGCCATCTTCTCGCTGAGGCTGGAAGCCCAGCTGGCACAGAGCTGCCATCACATCCCCCAGATGTCGGGTAAACACCAGCGTGGCGAGAGACGACTGCTCCGCCAGCTGCAGGAGCACTCTGGTCGTGGTCAGGAGGCGGCGTGTAGCTGGGGGCGACACTTCCCTGTAGACAACTTTTTCCACCATAGCTCCAAATGCTGACCTCCGACTCAGCGGTACACCTACTCCAGCTGCCAAGTAGGGGCAAAGTCCCAGACACACCACAAACTGGAATGCAGCTCCCAGCGTCTTTTGCTGGGAGACACTGAGGACGTCAGGGGGCAAAGGTGGAGCCATTTCAGGGGTACGGAGCTTCACTGACAAGGGAGGGGGGGCCTGCTGGAAGTGCTCCAGTTCAACGGTCAGGTGTCTCGAGAGAGCAAGGAGCAGGATCAGGCACTCCTGAACAAAGCTCCAGGTGACATCTTCTGTCTCACTGCAGAACCATTCTGCTGCCTCCTTCACATCCTCCCTCAGCCTCCTCACCTCCTGGAAGCCGCTGTTGCTCTGAAGCTGATCCAGCAGAAGGGCCTTGTTGGCCCCCAAAGCTGCCAGCAAAGCTTCGTGATGTGAGGACTGAGCGGACGCCTCTGCAGACAGAAACACACAAACCATCAAAGAGCAGGAGGCATTAGCTGCAAACGCAGACAGCTGCCGCTGCTAAGGACACATCGCTCTTACTACCAGATGACTGTAGGCCGCGGCTCTCTTTTCTAATGCTATCAGATTATAATGCGAATTTAAAATCCAACAATCATACATAAACAACACCATTACATGCAACAATTTAACGTAACAAAAAAAATCTAATTATAAAATGGCTAAAACATGGCGAACACTTAGAGAAGCTAGCTTGTTTATGTTGACATTAACTTACCGTTAACAGGTCTGGTGAGGATATTTATCACCGAGAGAATCTCAGAAGTCATTTCAGGGGATTAAAGTGCAATTAAAAATATGATATAAATCACAGAACCTTGATTTCTGAAAATGAACACATATACATGACAACCATGCTTCAAGAGCTAAAAACATATCAAACAGACGCGGAAAATTAACGTCATCACGCAGCCAACTGGGATAAGCAATGGCCGTGTTCGAGTTGAGCTGACAGAAGCAGCAGGGGGAGCGGCTGAAAGCCGGTGTCGGTATCACCGACATTTTTTTTAATTAAATGCTTATTACAATTTCTCGTGAGACAACAACACATAATAGAAACATGCAAGGCATCTTTAGTAACAATAAAAGAAAAGCAAATTAGAAACTTAAAAAGAGGCACTTATATCACAAAGTAAAAACATTGTTACAAGATTAAACATTTTTCTGCAGCATGACAAATGGCTTTTGCAGTTGCATTTGAATTTTTTATACGAGTCAAAGTGGATAAGAACATATGGAATTCATTTGTGAAACAATTCATGTTTGGCAGTTGTTTTTTCTATTTGCTTTTGTGGTTGTGGTATTTACCCATAATAATAATAATGTTAATTAACAATGAATTATTCCCCTTTAATTTAGAAATGTAAATAAGAAAATCTTCATTTGTAAAATGACCAAGTTCTCTTATTTTATTTCTAAACCAACAATGGACTTCTTCCCAAAACCTCTTACTTATATGACAGCTGAAAAATAAGTGTTCTATTTCTTCAGGGCTTCCCTGACAGAATTCACAAGGGTCAACTTCAAAACCAAATCTCTTCCGCAGTGTCTCTGCTGATGGATAGTAGTTGTTAAGAATTTTAAATTGCATTTCTTTTACTTTGGGCATTATAGGCCATTTTATAAATTTTAATTGTTTTTCTTCAATTATTGGATTTCCTAGTATTTTTATTTTAATCTTTCCATCATAATCATGATAGATATATTTTTTAAAGGCTCCATTTAAAATTTTATTTTCACATTTTCTTTCTGTAAAGTTCAATTCTCCTATTAATAAATTAGGAAGTTTTTTTTGAACATTAGAGAAGAGAAATGTGTTTTTTATCATTTGTATCAAAGTCACTGGTATAGCCTTACATACTTGCTTATATTCCTGAAGAGAACATTGAATGTTATTAAATTTGTATTTAAAATTCTGTAGCTGTAGTATTTCACCATCTTTATCCATAATATCATGTACAACGATAATTCCTTGATCAAACCACTGTTGGTTAAACAAGACTTTCTGTTTGAAACTCGATTATTCCACAAGGTGGCACAACGAGGAGTAAAATTATGGGTACCATCGACATTAATATACAAGGGGTGCTCGGGTGCAAGACTCGGAGTCCGTCGACTGCCGGTGACGTCAAAGTAGTTGATTGGCTGAACATGAACCTTACGGAATTATGTAATCACGTTACGTTGTTATCACGTTACGTTGGTCCAGGCAAATTTTTCTGTTGGAAAGATGAGACAACTTTTACAAAGAAATCAATCATTACCTCTTTGAAAATACACTTTTAGCATAGATCTGCATGTATATTAGGGCTGAACGATTAACTGCATGTGCAATTAAATTGCGATGTGACAAAAGGAGATTTTCTAATCGCAAAGGCTGCAATTTGGCAGCGAGTGGTTAGCGCAATGCTAATATACGTGGAAAAACCCATAGGAATGCTAATGCTAATATCACCGATTACATTATTACAAATTATGAATTAGAAACTTGCCAAATGATTACATTTGGAGTCTAATAGAAAGTAAAACTACCATCAGTCAAATAATTACAGACAGGTATTTTAGTAAAGCCAGAAAACTTAACTCCCAGAGTTTTGGCTAGCAGCTATGAGCGTACCTGAACTACGCATGGACAAGACGTCAAAAACTAAGCACAAAATACTTCAATAAACGGGGCACACACTATACGTTATAAAAAGGAAATTGATGTTAACTGTACATTTTGTAACTGTGAAGGAAGATATTTCTAATTTATTTTGGTCATGCTCATACATCTTTTCTGGCAAGAATTTTGCGTTTTTGTTGTTTCCTTGATCTTTTCTGAGTTCTCTCTTTGTTATGAGGAAATATTGTTTGGTTTCTTTCAGTACCCCAAGCACGGGGCAAACGAATTTTATTTGATTAATTTATTGATATTATTAGCTAAATTTCATAAACATAAGTCGAAATTTTCTAATGCAAAACCATCCTTTCAGTGCTTTTTAAATGAAAACAGACAATATATAAAAACCATACAACATTCTCAAAATTTGAAAGCTGTCAAAACCATAAACTTATGTTCCCTGTTCAACATTATGTAATTCTTTGTTAGACTGTTTTGTTTTCCCATAGAAACCCCCTGACATTGTGCTTGCTATTTGTACTTGTATTATGTGCTTTGTCAATAAAGCGTATTCAAGAAAAAAAAAAAAACGGGACACACTTCTTTCCTGCAAATACAATTTCACAGGTGTTGCTAATACCTATGATCCTTCAAGGGATGTGCTCAAAGAGGAGTTCAACATTATGAATACAACATAGTGTTTTATTTTACAAATACCATTATAAACACAAACTTACGTCTTAAGAAACATTATTTTAATAACTAAACTGCTAAATTCTTTCCAACAGTATAGATGTGTAGTGTATTTTGTCCGAGAGGGTTTGCCGCACTTTGACGTCATCGGCAGTCGAAGGACCCCGAGCCGATCTTGCACCCGAGCAGATCCTGTACCGACACCGGCGTTTAAGTCGGACACAATTTCCTGCATGTGTAGCTCGCGGGTGACGATGGCTGAAGATATCGCGTTAGCGTTCACACTTGTTTAATTTTCAATTTTAATTCTGGTGCCTGTTAGCAGTGTCATGATCCACCCCGGCCTCCCTGACTGTGTCTCTCCTGCCTTGATTACCCTTATTGTTCTCACCTGTCCCTCATTACTCTGCCCATGTGTTCCCGATTCCCTTGTGTATATATACCTCCCTCTTTGCTCCTGTCAGTTGTCAGATCATTGTCGTTTTGTGCATGTTCGTTTGTCCTGTCGCTTCCAGTCTACAATTAAACTATTTTTACTTTATCCGTGCCTGCTCATCTGCCTCTGGAACCCTCCACCACACTTGGTCCACCATCTCCACCCCCCAGAACATGACAAGCAGCTGAAACACATCCTCACGTGCTTGTGGATATCATATATTGTATATGAAGACATGACTGTAATAATAAGTAAAGGTTATCAGTTGTGACTAAAGAACACAAAACACATTCCTCTTTGTGGCCTATATAGTTGTCATCATCAACATGATTTACAGAATACATGTGACCAACTAACATTTCATGTTTTACCACCGATGTTTGGATCAAAATATGAACCAATCAGATCTTAGATCATGTGAGAGCTAGGCGTTTCCCGTCATCCCTAGCAGCCGAGGGAGAGCAACTGCAGCGCCTTGATCTCACAAGGTTATCGTTGCCTACGTATGCAAGGGCGGAAATCCCATTTCAAATTTGGGGGGGACAATAAACAGTAAAACTTCAGAGAGTAATTTTTGGGGGGGACATGAAAAAAATGCTCTCTACACACTGTATGTCCTTAAAAGAGACTGACATGAGACTCTGTGCCTGTGTCTGACAGACTCTGGCTGCCTGTGCTCAAGTGACTGGACTTTGCCTAATGAAACCATTTAGAAACAATTTCATAGGCATTTCATTTCTTTAGATGTTTTTATCAAAATGCAAGTTACAACTTACTTGACGTTCTGGAGCATTAAAAAACGACGGCTGCCGTTTTTTGTTTCTCTGCCATTTCAACTGACCTGGTCTGCTGACAGTTGGACAGCAACACACACACAGATGGGATATTGTCATTAGAACGGAGCTGGAGGATATTGATCAACAATAATATCTTGCCAATTTTGTACATCTCCATAAGCATCCTTTCTTTTTGTTTTCATTTCAATAACAAGACTGTGGCCTAAAACGGAATAAGCAATTCAGAATAAAGATTTAAAAGTAGATCGTTAACAGTTGAAGCAACATGTCCTGAAATGACATGGCTATTAGCTGACCAACAGCCACACATGTGGACAGATGCAAAGCATTAATTTTAAGTACTAAAACATATCTAACTTTTTCACAACAAAGAGAGAGAACATAAATGTCAAATTAAAATTTTATTAAATCACATAACATGAAAGCTACTAAAATCCAAATAGTTCCATATTGATTTTAACATATTTGAAAATTTCCTTCTAAATATGGCTAGAAAAAATAACAAACTTCAAATCAGCTTTCACAAATCAAGTATCAAAATGACTGAAATCTTTAATAAATCATAGAAATGTTTGTAGGCTATTAGAAAATAACTCTGTAATATTTAATAACTTTATCTAAGTCCTACTGAACGAAAAGATACACAAAATCTAAAAATATAGAGAAGAGAAATGTGTTTTGTGTTCTTTTGTCACGTTTCCTATTAGCACACTAAACCTACAGCTGATAGCCTTTACTTATTATTACAGTCATGTCTTCATATTCAATATATGATACCCACAAGCACGTGAGGATGTGTTTCAGCTGCTAACAGGCACCAGAATTAAAATTGAAAATTAAATCAGTGTGAACTCGATATCTTCAGCCATCGTCACCCACGAGCTACACATGCAGGGAATTGTGTCCGACTTAAATGCCGGCTTTCAGCCACTCCCCCTGCTGCTTCCGTCTGCTCTCGTCTGCTTTCCAGGCAAGGCACAGTCGATGGTGTATACTATACAGTATGTGTGTGTAAAGTGTGTATAATATGTGTGTGTGTATAGTGTGTGTGTGTGTCTGTGTGTGTATATAGTGTGTCTGTGTGTGTATAGTGTGTGTGTTGTATGTGTGTGTCTATAGTGTGTGTGTGTGTGTGTAGTATGTGTGTGTGCGGGTAGTGTGTGTATACTATGTGTCTGTGTGTGTATAGTGTGTGTGTGCATAGTATGTGTGTGTGTGTATAGTGCGTGTGTGTGTGTGTGTGTGTGTATAGTGGGTTTGTGGGTAGTATGGGTGCATAGTGTGTGTGTGTGTCTATAGTGTGTATGTGTGTATAGTATGTGTGTAGTGTTTGTGTGTGTGTAGTGTGTGTGTAGTATTTGTGTTTACTATGTGTGTGTGTAGTATGT